TTTTGTCTTATTCTTTCTGGTTCGTCTTTTTCTCTATTGTTTTTCTTTTTATCATTGGCCGAGAGGGGCCTCTTGCCTTGCTCTGCGAACGCGTATTTTTATCAAGCTATAAATCCGTGAATCGTGTAGACGACGCGACGCGCTGCTCCGCCCTGCTCCGCGCACACCGGACCCGCAGGCAGGCAGGCGGGCAGGCAGGCGCAGGCAGGCACGAGGCGGCCAGTCGGACAGGCAGCCAGCCGGTTGGTCGGGTCCCCTCCTTCTCTCTCCTTCTCGCTTCCTTTTCCCTCACTTCCTTCTTTCTTTGACTGTCAAGGTTGTCGGCGGTGGCGCGGCGCGGCGGCCCGGCCCGGCTGCAGGCGAATCGCAGGCGAAGCGAGGCGGCGAACCAAACCGCCAAACGCGAGGCGGAGCGCGCAGCGCAGAGCGGCGCAGAGCGCGTCGGCCGGGGCCAAATTTTTATCGCGGTCCGCATATTCGCTAGCCTTTGCAAATGGCCGAATGTGAATCACACGGTCGTCGCTTCTTCCGTCTTTTGGGAGGCGATGCGTCCGTCTGGCTTCCGGGGAGGTGCCCGCCGTGCGTCGCCGTGGTCCGGGGAAGACCTCGCCGAGCCGTCAGCACCTTGCCCCGCGCCCCGCGCCCCGCCGGCCGCGGTCGGTGCACGCCGATTAGTTTGCTCTAGGCCGCCGACGTGTAGTTGCGAGTAGCGCGAGTTCACTCAACTTAAAAATAGGATTGCCGAAGTTTGGCTACCCGGCCGCCACCCGGCAGCCACCCGGCACCTCTCTGCAGACTCGTTCCGAGAGTGGTCGCTCCGTCTCTCTCGCGCCCACGACATCGCCCCGCGAGTGCGAGGGAGACAGAGCGGCGAAAACGACGACTCTCGGAATGAGTCCGCTGCCACCCACCGGCCCTTCGCGAAACGCAGGGCGGCGAGGCGCGACACCCCCGAAACTTTTGCACGTCGCGATGGCGAAGCGGAGCGGAGCGGGGCCCCGTCGACGGCGACGTCGCCCCGTCACGTCACCTCGTCGCCTCGCCAAGTTACTTTGCCACTATTACCCGCGGTGACAACGACCCGTTTCGTTTTTATCTAGCGTTTTTTGCCGTCTTTCTATTCAGCTCGTCCTGCGCTGGTCCGCCGCCGGGGCGTGCGTACTGCGTGCCTACAGTGTGGCGGCGTGCGCCACGTGCAACGCGCCAAGTCCAGCACCGCGCCGTGGGAAGCTCGTCGTCGTGTGCGTGCGTGCGTGTTGGCGAGGGGGGCGGGGAGGGGGAGGGGGGCCCAGCTCGTTTTTCGGCAAGCCTCGCCGTCGCGGCGGCTGCAGCGGCAGTAGTAGGACCTCCACGTCTCCTTGAGCTTGACCAGCCCACAGCCGTCCCCCCTTCCCTCTCACTCCGCGCTCCGCCGCTCCGCGCCCGCAGCGTCGCCGTGCAGCTCGCCGAGTCTCCTTGGCAGAACCGCCCTCCCCGCCGCGCCTCCGCCCCGCCCCGCCCCGCCCTGCGACGTCGTACAGTTCCGTGATGCTAAGTGTTGCCAAGCATCGCGCAGGCCTAGCCCGACCCGCCCGAGCCCCCGCGGCCCCGCGGCCCCCTGGCCCCCGCCTCGCGTGCAGTCCCCCGCGCCGCCACGCCGCGGCCCCCCGGCCCCGCGGACCGCGGTGGGGCCCGTCGGTCGTCGGCCGTCGGCAGCACTAGGACCGGCGCGTCGTGGCGCGGCGCGGCGGGGCACGCCACGGCTCGCTAGGCCAGGCCCACCATAGCCTTGGTTATGCACTCTGAAGGACAGCGGGCTGTAGGCGGGGGACGGCGGGGCGCGGGGCGCGGGCAGCTGCGCTCGTGTCAGCTGCTGCGGTGCGGTTGGTGGGCCCGCCGCCACGCCACGCCGCCACGCCACGCCGCGGCGTCGGTTCGGTTCGGTTCGCGAGCTGAGGAGAGGAATGGCCCGCCGAGCAGTAGACTGATTCCGCACAGTGCGGACGTCGCTCTGTCTCTCTCGCGCCCGTACGGGGCGCCCCGTGAGTGCGAGAGAGAGGCCCCCGCTCGGAATCAGTCTACAGGCGGGCAGCCAGGCCCCAACAAGTTCGGCTGTGGCCGTGCTGGCCGTGCCGGCCGTGCGTCGGGGCCCCGCCCGCCAGGCCGCCAGCCCGCCACGCAGGCCGGCGGGGACCTCATGGACGCCGCGAAGCAGCGCGAGGCAGGCCCCTCGGGGTGGGCCGGCGCCGACGTGGGGGCCCGCCGCGCCGAGGAGGGTCTCGGTGGCGGAGAGGAGCGCGTTGGGGGGCGGGGTGACGCGCGCGGAAGTGGGAGAGGGGGGGGGGCGTTCAGAGCGGGTATGCGGCGCAGGTGCGCCAGCCGTTCTCGCCCTCCCCCAAGCTCGGCAAGCTCGCCGACGAGTGGAGGGCGGGGTGGTCAGCCACACACGCGGAAGGGAAGGCAAAAGGACGCCGTCGACGGTGTAGGGGTCACGGGGTGCATCGGAATCGGCAGTCCGAAAGGACCCGATGAATGCTAACCGCAGACCGATTCCGAGAGTCTCGCTCTCTCTCTCTCTCGCTCTCGTGAGGCGTCCCCTGCAGGTGCGAGAGAGACAGAGCGACTCTCGGATTCGGTCTGCGTTTAATGACATCGTGCGAATGGCTGGGCACGACGCGGCCCCGCCGTCAAGGCATGCCGGAAGCACCGGGAAGAAATAGTAAACGAAACCGAAGTGTCTGGATGCTGGCCGCGCCGTGGCGCCGTGGCCGGCAGCCCGCAGGCCGCACAGTGTGCCCCCGGCCCGCTCGCCCCGCTGCCGTGAACCCGGCCAACGCCTCGCCTGCGTCACCGCGACTCCAGCGGACTCCAGCAAGGGGTGCCTTTGCTTAAGGGTTGCCACTCGCTCGCTTAATCTGATTGCCTTGAATACCCGCCGCCCTGGACGCGGGTGCGGCGGGGCTGCTTTAAGACCGCTGCGACAAAAGCCGCGCCACCGTGCAGTAATTACACTTTTCGTCATTTCATTATTATTTTTTTGCGCCTAGCGTAGGCTGTGCTGCGATGACGCCCTAGGTTTGCAGCGAGGGTCGTTTGCCTGCGGGCGCCGCGTTGGCGCGTCGGCTTGCCTCAGCCGGTTGCAAACTTGCAAATGGGTGAGCATGGTGTCGGTACACTGGTACAGTATTCGCACGCCTGGCCGGCTTCGCAGTGGCTTGGCCAGCTTGGCCCGGCCGGCCTGGCCAAGGACGCGGAGAAGGGCCTCGCGCAGCACTGCGCAGCGCGTGCCGCGTGAGCCAGGCCCTCGGTGCCCTCGGCCGGGCCGCGTGCCGCGTGCCGCCGGGCCGGGGGTGCCTCGCAGTGCTTCGTACCGGAACACGCTCCCGTCTCGTTGTGACGCACGCGCCAGCGCGCCACCCGCGCAGGCCAGCCGGGCTTGGCCGGCCGGGCTGGGTTGCTGGCTGGGTTCGTTGCCGTTTGCCGTTCCAGGCGTGGCTGCACTGCGGGTCCTTGAAAAGCGCCTAGTGCTGTCGGCGACTGGCTAGAGTGGAGCCATCGACGCGCGGCTGGTGCTAGCTAGCTCGCGGCGTCGCGGCTCGCGCTCAGGTTGCAGGGTCGGCTCCGATCTCCTTGCGGAAGGCGGGTCCTTTTGTTCCTGGGGGGCCGGCCGGGCCGGGCCGGGCGCGGGCGCCCGGGCCGCGGCGGGGCGGGGCGGGGCGGGTTGGATTGGTTTGTGCGTTGGGCCCGGCTAGCCCGGCCTATGGATGGGCCCGGCTAGCATAGCGTCAGGGACCGTGAGGCAGTCAGGGCCGACCGGCCAGTGAGGCCTAGGCCTCCACGACGCGGTCCGCCCGTCTGTCTGTCTCTCTCTCTCTGTCCGGCCCGCCCGTCTCCCTCCAACGCATGGCTGGGCTTGGTTTGGCTGGCGCGGCTCGTCAGGGCCCGGTGCCATGGGGCACCACGGGGCCCCGGCGCGGTCGGTTCGAAATTTGCGATAATCGCTCGCCGCGCCTCGCCTCGCCACGCTCCGCCCTGCTGCCACGCCCGCCCCGCCCCGCCCCGCCCCGCCCGCCTCGCTCCCCCGGCCGTGCCCTCCTGGCGTGCACGGGGCGGGGCGGGCCATGGGCGCAGCCGAAGCCTGCTTGCGAACTGAAGCGACCGTGCCGTGCCCTGCCGTGCCATGGGGCCGATGGGGCCGTGCCGAGGCCCTGCCATGATGCCGGCCTGCTCTGCTTTTGTTCTCTTACGTTGCCGAGCATGTGCGTGACCGGCAAGCTCAATCCCATGCCCTGCCCTCCTGCAGCACTCCTCCCCTCCCCCCCCCCTCGATCCTCGCCGTTTCTCTCCTCTTTGTTTCTCGCTGTTTTTCGCCGAGTGTGGCGGTGGTGGTGCTTCCTACCTGTCAACCGATCCTTTGGTGGCCGCTCCGTTTTGCGTTAACTTCCGACCGCCTCCCCCTTACCTCGCCCGGCCAGCCCGCCGATTAAAAATAAATGGAGATCAATTTCTCATACCTGTGACTTCCCCCGCGCACCCTGGCGTGCGAATTCGGGCGCCACGCCGCGCCACGCCGCGCGAGGGCAGCGGGCATGGAAATTGCGTGCACGTGTGGGGAATTCGATGGGACTATTTCGCCTTCCCTCCGCCACCCCCTCCCCCTCCCCCTCCCTGCCCTCGCCGTCCACGTAGCCCGTTCGGCCTGGCTGTCTGGCTGTGACGCAGGATGATATCTTTAGCTGCATGCGCAGCCAGCGGCAGCCAGCGGGAGTGAGTGCAAGGTCACACAGCTGTTGTGCATCCCACCCAGCAGGCCGGCAGGGCCGGCAGGGCCGGCAGGGCCGGCAGCCCAGAGGCCAGGCAGGCCCAGGGCTCGCCAAGCTAACGCCAAGCCGTCAAACGCCAGCGCGTGGCAGCCTGCGGCTTGCGGCGCGTGCAGAATGCAGATACCCCGCGACGCCGCGATGGCGATACCCCATTCAGACGTGGTCTCTAACGCCTCCTCTGCATTCTCTCTGTTTCAGGTGTGACGTTCAAAGCTCACAAGCTAATACTAGCAGCTTGCAGTAAACACTTCCAGGATCTATTTGAAACAGCTCCAGTATGCCCGAGCATCCTGGTGATCCTGGACGGTACCACCTCCAGCAACATGTCAGCGTTGCTGGAGTTCATGTACAAAGGAGAGGTGCATGTTTCACAGGACAGTCTTCCCAGCTTTCTTAAAGCTGCGGAATGTCTTCAGGTGAGAGACTTTTCAGAATATTTATGTGTAGTGTCGGTCGGTGGTTTGGGTGTCTGAAGATCTAATTTGTTGTTCTATTTTCAGGTCAAGGGGTTGTCCATAGAACATGAGAAACTTGCTCTTGTTCAAGAAAAGGAGGATGTGCCAAACAGTAGCGACAAGTTGGACTCACCAACTGGTCGTAAGATAGCACGATTAAACTCAAGTCTGAAGGAGGTGGCAGATAGTTTGAATAACAACTGTGGCTCAGAAAGCTCATTAGCACGAGCAGAGCACAATTCATCACAGATGGCATCTCCTTCGTCCCACCCATACTCACCCGTCCTGTCCCCTTACATGCACCACTACAGACCTTCGTATGAGAGAACGTCATCCACCGCACCACCGGCTCCATCTCAAGGGTAAGAATCTAATTTTTAATGTTCATACCATAACTTTTCAAAAATTGTCCTTTTGTTTTTCAAATAATTATAATTTTTATAGTCTCTTTTTTTCTTGTTTTCTGGTGCTTATTGCAAATTTGTGTTTCAGGTACGAAAATGCTCCTCGGAAGCGCCATCATCGTAGTCCAAGTGATGCTATCCAAGAAAGTTCATCAGCTGTGCGAGCATCGGTCTTACGAGATGGTAGCAGAAACCGACCCGCAAGTGACCCAGAGATGCATTACCACCCCAATAGTGGTCATGACCCAAGAGAAATGTCGCCAAAAGTTGAAGAGAACCATTCATACGGTCACAATTCTCCATCTACACACCGCTATGAAGAAGGACCTAACGGATCGAATGCTGCTTCGATGGTTTCATTTGACAGAACTGGTGCTGCGGATCCTCCAGCTGAGGGTAATAACATCGGTACGCCTGACAGTCACCACTCCTCTTCCTCCTCCGTAAACCTTGACAACCAAGACACTTTCGCAGAGGGTACAGTCTTGTTTCAGTTTACCACTAACTTTTTATAAAATATTACCAGAACAACTGTTTATCATGAAGCATTCTCTCCCTTTTCAGACTTGAGAATAAAACAAGAACCATCTGTTCGGTCATCTGTTGAAGAGACAACACAACAGACCTCAGTCCCCTCACCTTATATAGATCATCTGGCAACTGACAAAACTCCAGAGATACTGAGTCCCAGTATGTGGAACTCAAAAACAATGCCAAGCTTGAAGGGTCATGCTACGGGTAGTATGATTGATGGTATGTAGTCCTAAAAAAAAAATTCTTGTAGTGTTTATTTTTTTGCAAATGCTAATTCATCTATTTGATTTTTCTTGTCACTATTTAAAGGAGAGACAAAGATTGATTCTTTGAAAGGTTACACGGCACAGCGAACTCCTGATGGTAAGTTTCTATCAAAAATAATTCTAGGGAGGCACCTTCCCAGAAAATACTATCTATGTAGGGCCCTTATGCAGAAATTGGACCCTAAATTATTTTCATTATTTTTCCAGGCAAGAAACTTCAATGTCCGTTTTGTGAGAGGCTTTACGGGTATGAAACAAATCTCAGAGCTCACATTCGGCAACGTCATCAAGGAATTCGAGTCCCCTGTCCTTTCTGCTCTCGAACCTTCACAAGAAATAACACTGTGCGACGACATATTGCTCGAGAACACAAAACGGAGCTGACTCTGAAGGCGTATCAGCAAACTCAAGTCCTGAACCACAGCCCATGAGGCTTGCTGCTCGCGCCTTCCCTCTACCCGTTCAATCTGCAGCTTTAAATTTTAATTGCCATGCTGACCTTTTCTAAGTCCTTAGCACTCAGTGCACACCAACGTTGTACGGGTATAATCACGGGTAAACAAATTTATTATTATTGTTATATGATATTGGAGCAACCTGCTCCCTGTGAGATGTGACGGGTTTAGTGCTGCTTTGTGTGCTGAGGACAAAGAACTATTGTATAATTAAGTTATGGCATATACCTGTTTTCTTGTTTACTTTTTTTCTAAAGAGAGATGATAAAACCGAACTCAATCAGGATGACAGAATTACCTCATAATTATAGCTATTATATTGAAAGATATATTAAGAAAGTTCACAAAAAGTATCTATAGATTTATATATTTGATTGTATATGGACATGTTTATTATAATACCATGTCTCTGAGAATTCCTCAGGAACACTGCTCCATTTATTTAAGATTTTGGCTAGCATGTCTCTCTCTATCTCTCTCTCGCAGGGTTTGTAGACAAGGCTTAGAGAGAGATTTGCAAACCGCAACAACAGATACTGCCAATATTGAATAATCCATGAAAGTGTTGATAGCAAAGCCTCTAAATTCACTACCTCCTGTTGATTCATTTTTAGTTCCCACTGTTTTTCCCAAAGTCTTGTTCTAACAAGATTTGAAGAGTTAATTTTTGTTTTCTTTCATCTTCTGTGATTCATTTGAGGATTATCTTAAGTTACTTTCGCCTTCTCATATTCTGACCTGTGGCTTCAGCTGTATCACACTGTATGTGGTTTATTTACGATTGCATCACTTATCTCAGGGATCTGAAATCTCACAAGGTATCATCTGCTGTATATGTATAGAAATCATTTGGTGATACATAGTTAATTGTTACTTCTCTTTGCTGTGATGCTTAATTATCAGTCACAATTACTCAATTGTCTGGGTTTTTGCACTTGTGGATTCTAGAATTTTTTCTGCTATAAGGTAATGAATCGCATTCATTCAGTGATGGGACCATTTGCAAGAACATCCGTTATCTCTGCTTCAGGGAAATAGTCTGGGACAGCTTATATAAGTAGAATTGGTTTGGAATGGTCAGTACTCTTTCTTTGAAGAAACTAGTCATTTTAGAAACGCCCCCCCGGTGTTTCTCTGAATTGCTGTTACATTTTACTGTTTGATTGCACACTGCTCCGTAACAACTCCGTTATTGCAAGGGTCCATTGTTCAACATGACACCTGAAGAATAAGTTTGTGCCAAATCAATCTCAATTCAGGTTTATGTCTAACTTAACCCTCCCCAGAATTAGGCAGTGAGAAAAGAAGTCGTGATATTTTAAGTCTCCGGTCCATTTTTTCTTTACATATTGAACGGATGCATCAATGGTTCGGCGCGAGTTTTGTGAAGAGTAAGGATAAGAGTTCTAACTGTAAATAGTGTCACTTTTGACATCACAAATGTCTAATGAATGTTGTATTTCTTTAGATGCAAAGCATCTCAAAATTTTACTTTCTGTGTTGTGCAAGAAGAGTTAACGAGTGATTGTAAGCTTTGATATTTTCCCAGGTTGATGTGAACCCGATCCTAGTTGCTAGATTTCCTCTATTTTATGTGCTGGTTCTCTGTTAATTTTTTCCTTTAGAATTTGCATGTCTTCTTGTTTAATTGCAAAACATACTTGAGAGCGAAAAATTGTTTTAGTAGTTCACAAATATTTTGCTATCTGCTCCTAGTCAACGTATTTCCTCTAGTAAATAAGTACTTTGGTTGCACAGGTGTGTTCTATCATTGTGAAAGTTAAGGTTGCAGTATTTATATTGCTAAGAACTCTTAAAATATGTTGTGCATCATTGCACAATTCTATCAGGACACAACATCACAGTTCAGCACTACTTATGTTGCAATGTACAATCTACTTTAGCAGAACCATAGAAACCAACTACCTCAGATTTACCTGTGAATTTTATACATTAAGTAACAATACTCTGGTTATCGTACAATATCTTTTTTTTTTCCCTTATGTGAAGCACTTTTGAGAAATAGAATCTGATATGGTGGAATACAGACTCAATGATTTTGCAATTACATGTGCGCTTTTCAAGACATGCTCTTGTTATAAATTATATTTAATATCTCTGTATCTGTTAAATATTGTTGCAATGCCATTTCTTTAAACAGAACCGAAATTGTCTTGTGTTTTAAAAGTTTAAGATTGTTGTTTTGGATGGGCCACAACTTCAAATGTAAAACCCCCTGGCAAGAGGGTGTGCCATATATCAAAGAGGATTGCAATGCTTGTGATGTTATGTACAGTAAAATGTGATGTGCTTGTTATTTCTGTGTGAACAGATAGAATGCAGACACTCACAAAATGTTAAATATTGCAGTTTCTCTCCAATGATTCTTCTATGCGGGTATCTTATTTCTTCCATCAACTAAGTTTTTTTTTCTGAAAATCTGTTTTTTCTTTCTTATGTCTCAGGTTCTGTTTATCATTGGTTATATTTGTTTTCTGTTAAGTTGGTTAATTTTTAACACTTGTTTCTGCAGTGCTTTACCCTTTCAATTAGTTTGTTGATTTAGTTTTTACGTTTTTTACCTTTGGTGTTTGGTTATTGCATGACTAACTGAAAGATAATTTAAGTCTGTAGCACCTGATTGATGTTTTGGCATATTTTCTGTACTAACTCTACTATATTATTGATGTATTGTTTTAGGTTATTGTCTTGTAAATTAATGTGTCTGTGAGTGTTATAGCACTTATTGTCAAAACGGGTATGAGAAGCAGAGCTGCTCTCGAATTACGCTACAATTTGGCATTCGCATAGGTATGTCTCTTCTGTCGCTCCTAGTGAAAATGAAACTTGTTTAAGACGTTTAAGTTGTGGTGACTTTTTTTTTTCTTAAGTGGTGTGAAGAGGAACTGTTAAGAGCCTAGTGCTTAGCATGAAGTACAATGGGGTTGAGACATTGTTGCCCTTAGGAGTAATTTTATTTTTTGCAACAATGCCAATCAGTCATTACGTACCTTGTTGGCTCACATGGGCCATTCAAATTATCTTGCTGTTATCTCCAGTATTTTTATTGTTTGTGTATGTCACAAATGTTTGATCTACCTCATTCATACGGGTCAACTCTCCTTTGAAAATTGGAGAGCTAGCATAGGTTTTAAATCATAATTCAGTATTTATGAGAATACTTAAGGTGGACTGGGCGACTGCTGGCGTGTCGGAGGGGCAATAATGGGGCAGTCAGGGTGACGAGTTGCGTCTGTGATAGGGCCTTGTCTGACCAACTGCACGCCAGCTTAGTGGCCAGTCAAACACTGCTTAAAACGGGTAACTTAATGCAGTGGGTCCTCAGCATGGCACATTCTGTGGTCACTGCCTCTGCTCCTTATTTTCAGATAGTGTTTATGATAAGAGAGATAGGCAGAGCAGTGCACTGTTGGAATGTGTTGTGGTCTAGTTAGGATGCATCACAACGAGGAACCACTTGCAACTTTTTAGATAGTCAAATAATCTGGTTCTTTCTCAGATCTGATATCTTTTTATTCATGATGAGATGGACAGTTTAAATGTTGTCGGAACATTCATTTTTTGAAACTTTGTACAGCAGGTGCAGTTTGTCCTCTTGCGTAGTATTTAATTGTTAATGATATTTCAAATGTTACTGTTGTTACATACTTTTGAGGATATCGTGTCTTCAATTGAGCCCTATCCTTCCACATTCTGAGCTTCACTTCAGAAAAGCCCAAATGAAAGTTAGCTGTTAAAGTCAAAATTTTATTAGATTATGGCTGACAATAATTTCAGTTTGAATGCGATACATCACTGCCAAATGGTGTTACTGTACAGTTTATGAAAGGTAGTAGCGGACAGTCCTCACTGCCTGTCCACATTAGAACTACAACCTAATCGAGTTTTGGACAGGCTATCAAGGTTGTGTTCCGTCCACGGACGGCTTTTCCAGTGTATTGCTCAGACTTATTAACCCAAGAAACTTCTCAGGAATATTTATCAGGGATATAGGTATAGGACATTTTTCCAGTGTGGTGCTGGCTGAAGACTTATCCTCCTTAAAATTGGTTGTTACATAAATATCACATTACAGTGATCAGAAATGACATCACGCGACATTGTTTATCAGCAAGTAATGTATTTCTTACAATTAAGTTTCTTGTTTTCTTCTTTTTTTTCCCCTGTTAATCTATGCTTCCATTGAAGACACTTGACAGTACAAATCTAGTTTACCCCATGTGGCACCGTTTTATGTGCATACATCTATAAAATCAACCTCAGGTGGAACTAGAAGTTTTATTTCATCTATCTCCTCTTTCTTTCCTTTTCTTCCCTTGCTCTATGAGCAATGTTATATTCAGCTTATTGTTTATATTGAGGCTTTCTTTTATATTGCCTCCTGCTTACGGGTCTTATTGTTGATGTGGAATAAACGGGTGCACTTTTGTGTGTGTATATATACATACGGCATATACATGTCAATAAGTTTAGGTAACTAAACTGAAAACTTTCAGAAAACTGATGAACTCATATGCGACAATTTAGTCCTCAGATGAAAAATGTTGTGAATGTACATACATACAATAAGTTATAGATTTGAAACATTATCTACCTCATTTTCAATAATAGTATTGCCACTTCAATACTATTATTATAATTATCTAGTTTGCGATCTGCAAATAGTATTGGAAACCTATTATTTGATTAGGTTTATCTTCCATGTTCCTCGTCCCCACTTATTCAATGGGTCCAAGAAAAAGTAATTGACTGCTTGATTTCAATAATTAAGGTGAAAGCAGTTTATTATCAACCATCAGGCTACTGTCTGGAATGAGTATTGGGCGGAAGTTCAGTTTCTAGTGTGTATGTGTCTATTAGTACAAAGTTTTTGATGAGGATTACGAAATGTTGTTCATCGCTTGTTTTGTTATTTCACCACAACTTAGCGTCTTACTCTGCTTTGTGTGTTTATGTCAATCCCTGTCTGGTCTGCAGTGTGCTACTTTAATTCTTTAATGTGTTAGAAAAAATAGAAAATTCTATCAAAAAAAAATTCTTATGAAATGTGTCTGTGAACAAGTACAAGAGTTATTCGTAAAATACATGTTTGGGAGAGCAGATTTTGAGGGACATGCGACAATGTGCGGTGTCTGTGTGGATGCCGGCGTATTGGGGCAAGTGAAATTGTGTTATTTAGCATTCTGCGGATTTTCCTACTAGCTTTTGTAGTTGAATGTCTGAATGTTACTTCTTTGAATTCATATGTAGGTTGTTTGATTTGTAATGGATGCCATGTAATTCCTAGCTAGATGTGCAACTCAGTGTAAAAGGAGTGGCAGCGATGCTCAGTCGGATTGTGCCAATTGCCACTTGCTACTTGAGGTGTTTTGAATGAACGCTGTGCAAGTCAGTCAAAATAAGTAGTCAAGTAGTGTGTAGGGGAAGATTTGTGGTAGGTTGGTAACTATATTTATGTACAGATCTGAGGCTGAGAAGTTTTTAGCAAATGCTTCAGGTTGTCAACATTCTTTTAAAACATAGATTTGTTTTTAAAATAGAAAGAAACTTATGCATTTTGTAACAAAATAGTATTGCAGAGAAAATATTTTTGTATCACCAATTTTTGCACCATGATTGTCTAGGTTTGGAGACTGTGAAGCACTGGCTTGCAAATAGCAGTGGGATCAGAAATGGCATCTATTGCAGATTGAACTGGAAAATGGGACTTGACTTGGGACTGTAGCCACATCTACCCTGTCACGTTTCATTGCTCTGTATATTTAAGTCGCTCAAACTAGATCAAAAGGACTTGCAGCGGTGTTCTCACACCATAATCATGTCCGTCCTTGTGATTTGGGGGCGGAACTATGCCCCTCCCACCCTTGTCAAGTATGGAAATATATGGGAAACTTTGTTATCAATTTTAATGTGTTGAAGTATATGTGTGATTATTTTGCGCATTCATGCACCTCTAAAAGTGTGTGTGTGTGTTTGTGCTGTGTATGTTTGCCAGTGAATGTAAGTGAGCGAAGAAGTATGTATGAGTGAATGCCTGTGTTAATGTATATGTTTGTCAGTAGATGTGTAAGAACAACCATCCCTTTTAAATATGTTTTAAGTTTCTTTTTTACATGCCCAGTCAAATATTATTGTCCTCAGGAAAGTGAGTTTTTTTATACCGGTTTATTTTAGTTTAAGAAGTAATGTAAATGTGCAGTTTTTTGTTTGTTTCTTTTAAATTGCTAACATTCAAGTGGGCCTTTACAAGCATAGCTGATCATTTTTAGGCTTTAACATTGTATGTGTAGGCAAACATAAATTTCCAGATGTTTTGCATAATTACCTGCTGAGCACATGTGTCATATATGTGTGTCCTGCTATATAGATCTGAGTAAAATAAGGTGTTTCCCTGAAATATTTATCTCCCCTAATACTGCAGCTTGCCAAAAGCAGCTTGAAACCAGGCAATCAACTTTTCGGTTTTAGAGAAATGCTAGGTGGAAGTGCAAGTCAATCCTTTTGTACCAGACCGAAAAATTGACACAGCACTCAAGTTTAATGTGTTTTCAGTCATTCTGCAAAATTTGTCGGAAGTGTGTCAAGATTGTTCAAAGTCAGTACTTACTTGCATAAAAATACCGCTTGGCTAGCCATGGCCTGATCAATCAGATTCATGTCAGAGCTATATTCCATGAAGAGAATCCAAGATTCAAGTTAACAATTTTGGCATAACATGTGTGCTTTCAAAACATATTTCAATATTTATATATATATTTTATTTTGTATAAATTAGTCTATCATTAAAGTGATTGAAATCATTCAAATGTTAAAAGTTCGGAATTTTATGGATATCTAATTATACCAAATATATGGACATGTTTTATAATTTAAAATTTAAAATTTCAGTTAACTTGTGTTTGTTTTTCTCCATACATCTGGATAAAAATAAATTTTGCATCATTCCAATTAGGATTGTTAATTTACAATCGTGGCTACTGACTTAAATTTTAAAGCTGAAGTGACATTGGAACAGTTGCTTTTGTATTTGCATTGCTGGCCATGAATAGCAACATAAAATTTTACAACAAACCCATTTTCTATTTGCTCCTTATTTTTTCTTGTTTTGGTGTGTAGTGTCCAATCATGTGTTTTCATATACATAGCTAAATGTGACTTGAATGTTTTAAGAGATCATTAATGGTTTGTAATAGTCTGTATGTTTGATGTTTGTACATGTGGTATATATACAATAAGAACAATTTTGTTGTTTTCTTTTTAAAAAAATAGATCTGTGTGTAGATGAAACATTCTTTGATGTTGTTAGATGGTTTGAAATTATGTGTATTCAAAACTTTTTATGAAAATGTGTATTTTGTTGTATTTCATGTTCATGGAATGCATTTGTGACAGATTCAACTGTTTGAATGTGATTTTCGCCTGTCATTGAAAATTCACAGTGAACTGCTTTTTCTCCCAGTCAAAATTGAATTACAGTCTACCACATTTTGCTCTCCACATTTTGGAAATGTTGGAATAGTGAGTTTGTCGGAACAATGCCAACAGTAAGGTGAAAGTTTGTGATATGTAAAGCGTGCTCCCCATTGTTGGGAAGTGACAAGGCAGGGACAGTGTCATTGGGTTGATTGCCCTTCCAAGGAAGAGCAACATCACCATTGTTGTTACCTGCTGTAAGGCAAAAAATCAAGAAAGGAAAATGCTCTTTGCTGTGTATGTTTTGTATCCAGTGCTAGTCTGGCATACTATAAAACCTGAAAGTTGTTTCAATTTCCTTGTTTTCCTGTCTGATTTCAATGGATTAAATCCATCTTAAACATTTTTGATACCATTAAATGGTTTGTAATTGCCTGATTGTACCCATATGTAAGTTAAGATTGTACTACAAGTATGGCGTGAAAGGTTCAATCTAACCTTTGTGATGTGATCCTTAGGTTGTGTTTAAGTGAAACGTTTGTGACAAGTAAGTTTGTGATCCTGCTGTCCTTTTGTGTAACATTAAATTAATCTCCCCAAAATGCCCATGCTGGCTATTACGTCCGGTGAGGTGAAAGAAATGGCTGTCTGCATTCTCATGAAATGCATGTGCTTACCAAAGAAAGTAGCACGTAAGAAAATTTTACAAAAATTGATCAAGTTGAGGAAACTTTTGTTTAACCACTAGCAGGGGATCCAATTATCTTGTTACGACGTAATTGATAAGTTTGTCGATGTGTTTTGTTAAAGCTATGCATATGAATGAACCATAAAATAAAAATCTGTAAATTACTGTGCAGCTGCCTCCGATTCTGTCACTTTTTTTAGCCCGATGGGGTATAGTACCTGTTCAGCATCCGTTTTTTTAAATTGTGAGATTAACTTTTCTTTTTCTTTTTTTGTTTCTGTGTGATTTTGCACTTTGTGTACATTTGGATTCCTGCCTTGCGCCTGCATTGGATGTAGCTCAGTGTGGTTTGTGGGGAGAGTGTCTCATTCCTAGCAAAGAGCAAGGTGACAAAGAATTATGGAAATCAAATTATGCTTTGTTCTGTGATTTTTACGTACCTGTCAAAGGCTATTTTTTTATGTTTTGTGTTGGAGTTATTTTGGTTTCCTTTGCAAGATGCAAGGTAAGGACAAGGACATGGAGGAGCTGTAGGCATGGTTCATACTGAGTTGTAACACCTTTTTCCAAATTGTTAGGTTTTAATTTGCTTGGGCTCAAGCTGTTATTATTATTATATTATTATTATAATTATTATTATTATTATTCTTAAAACGTCAAGGGGCCATTTATCATAAAGTGAGAACAATTGATTTGGAGAGAAGGGTGAGGGAATGACAAGAACACGGGTAGGCAACTATGTATCATGTTTGTGGTAAATGGCCCTTCTATAATTTACAATTGGTTGGTATGTTTCTTTTTGTTACTGTTGCCCTTCGAAACAAATCTTTGTTATTAGTAGTAAATGTTGTATGTGTTTCTGTGTAGTAGCTAGAATTTTACTGGATAGGAATGTTACAACTTGTCATGTGAAGTGTGCTTTCATTAGGCAGTCCAGAGCATTGAAGGAATGTGTGAATGAAGCAGTTTGTTTGGTTGGGAGTCATGCATTCATGTTTTGCACCTAAAACATACTCACTAGCTGTAACTGGACACATGTAACTAAGAGTAAAATTGATGTCAGAAAATGGAACTTCAAAAGAAATCACAGATTACTAATAAACTAAATTTGTTGCTACAAGAAAATGTGTACTTGTCTTTTTATTTTTCCTCTACTTCCGAGACACGACACCCATTCGAAGCACACTTGAAGCGAAAATGCACATAAATCAGTAACCTGTCAAGAATTGAAAAATTAAGGGGACTCTACTCTACACTTCCCTCCCAGTTTTGGGAAGTCAAGTATCATTACGTGAATGGTGGGTGGCGCTGATCGCACCGCATGGAGAACCAGTCAATGAAAAGAAATGAGGGAAATTGGTCTTGGACGCCTGCCGTCGACGGGGCCGACTCTCCCTCCGTTCTTGGTTCTTGTCCTTGTCCGCCGATAACTGTCCCGACCGATACGCCACCGATCAGCATACGCGCTGCATCGCGCCGCGTGCCGCGCACTCCAACGAGGGCGCGCTTGTGAATCATCGTGTAACACCGTCCCGGGTGCGCGCCGTCTGTCTCCCTCGCACCCGCAGGCCGGCCCACCCACCGCCACCGCCGCGACATGTCGAGTTTAGGCAGGCCGGCGGGGCGGGCCGCGCCGCTTGGCGCTTCGCGGTTCGTTTCCATACGCATCATACACGCCGACATGCACGCCGGCGTACGGCCTGAGCGTCTCCGCCTTTCTTTCTCCCCCCCCCCCTCTTCCCCACCGCTAGCCTTTTTCGTCCTGTCTTTCTAAGGGAGCCCCCGGGCCGCATTCCCTCCGGACTAATGGAGATGGTGACACGGAGACGGGCACCTCTGTGCCGCGTCTGTCTGTCTGTCTGTCTGTCTGTCCGTGCCGCGGTGGCGGGAGGGGTGGGAGGGGACGGGGTATTGTTGGCAGCCAGTTTGTTTTGGCACTGGGATGACTTATGGGTCGTTGGAGGAGGAGGGGGGGGGGCGGTGTCCCCACTGGACGTCGTCCGGGGTGTCCCCTCCCCGCGACGAGTGGACGAATACGTGCGTGTGTGTGAGAGTGAGTGAGTGAGTGTGGGTGTGTGCCCTGCTGGGTGACCGGGCATATGTCCGGCGGCGCGACCCAGTGCTACCCAGTGCAGCAGTGGCCGAAACCGTGTCCAGTAGCGAGGACGAAGCCAGGACGACGAGAGCCGCTCCCCCAGGACACGCAGGACACGGTGCCCAGGATCCGAGAGAGCCCAGGACGCACTGCCTGCAGCACTGCCCACATCGCGACCACGCCGACGGAGGAACAGGTGAGCGATGGTCAGCGAGGACAGCCAATCAGAGCACTTGATGTTCCACCATTTTTTGTTGTATTTTTTTTAAAGATCGATGTTCGAGAGCGCACGGCGAATGGCGTTGGGTGGAGCGAGAAAAGAGAGTGGAATTGACAGGCAAAAGTGATTGGGAACGTATTGGTGCCGCCGCCTGCGGGCCGCGGGCGGGGCCGCCCCGTTACGCTTGCGCGTCGTGGGGTTGCCTACCCCGACTTCCGCAGGCGCTCCGTGGCGCTTCGCGCGGCCGCGGGTCCTTTGCCGCGCGCAGCGTGCAGCCAGCTGAACCGGAACTGCACCGGAAACCGGAAATCCGACTGAGACCGGTGCTGGAGCTCTGGACAAGGGTGCCGGGCGTGCCGGAAACCTAAATGCCCGCGAGGGCCCGGCCTGACGGGGTGCCGGAACCGGAACCGGACGCGTCCCCGTCACTGACGGACACTCTGTGGCGGCGGGCGAAGCGACGCGCCGTCGCGCGTTGGCCGCGTTTGCCGCCGTGAAGCGCGAAGACTGACGTCTCTGGCCGTCGGCCGCCGTCGGCGCCGCCGGTCGTTCTCCGGGCACTCCGTGCGCATTAGCATGCCGTGCACGGCCGGGGCGCCGCGCCGCGCGGGTCACTGGCGCACACAGGACAGAGCGCCCCCCCCCCCCGCCGCGCACCGCTGCCAAAAGACGCGTGTAGTGCGCTCCGTGTCCGGCAGGCCTTTCTGTACCCACGGCGAAGATGGTCAGGGTAGGGCAGTCCACGGAAAAAGAAAGTCCTGAAAAATTGAAGAAGAAAGTGTGGAACTGAGGACGCGAACGCCAGTTCTCGGGGAGGGGAGTAGGTAGCCTCTACGGCCTCGGCCACTGTGGCCAGTGAGAGGGGTGGCATTTTAGTTTATGCAAAGAAAGGCTTGGGTTTGATGCAGTGCCGCGTCCCCGCGGAATGATCGCAGGGGGTAGGCGCCACCAGCCCTGCCACCCCGCACGTCGATCTCGGTTAGCTCGGGCCTCGCCGGGGTCGGCGTGGAGCCCATCACCGCCAGAGCGCGCTCGCGGCGGAGGCCGGCACCAGCAGGGCCTTCCGGGAGGCGGGCAGCGCACGGGCTGCGCAGGGGCAGGGTGTGGCCCAAGTCGGTTAAGTCGGTCGGTGGGCCGGACGGTCCAATTTCTCATCTTGACGTGCGCTGCACCATCTATTCTCGCTCCGCACCGGAGGCAACCGGAGGCAACCGGAGGCAACCGGAGGCAACCGGAGGAAGCGGCAGGGCGTGCAGCACCGGAGGCCTCCACCGGCAGAGCCCCTGACCGACTTTCGGCGCGCGCTGAAAGGCAGAAAGCGAGCCGAAAGTGAACCAATTGTGGTCTAAACTGACCACCACGAGGAGCACGACGAGGAGGAGGACGCCAGGGAAACACACGGCGAGCTGCTCATTGAATTTCATGCTGGAGGAAAGTCCTCCCCGCGATGGCACCGCGCCACGCGGCCAGGCTTGGAGCTTGACCGCGACGGGCCGCGCCGTGCCGCGCATGCCGCACCTTGCATTCAAAACGACCGCCACACCTAGTGGCCGCGCCCCGCCCCGCCCCGCCCCGCCCCGCCACGCCCCGGCACTAGGAGGCGCCTGGCCGGGAAAGTACCTGGAACTAGTTCAGGTATTCGGTGGGAAAGGGTTGCCGCCGTCGCACATCGCACATTCCACCGACACGAGCAGCACAACATGGAACCGACCGCCAATCGGTCAGGCGGCGTCAGAAAAAAATGCTCTCATTTCAAATGTTTGTAAACAGAAAACACTACTAAAATCAAAGAAAATAAGCATAAAAAGTTATGTTTTCTCCTGCAGACTGGACACCGCCATGCTGCTGCTGCTGACACTGGCGTGGAGCGTGGCGGCGGACGACGCCGCCAGCCGCGCCAAGGACTCGTACCTGGACGCCTTCATGGAGTCCCACGCCGTGCAGGGGGTCGGCGGCAGCGGTACGTCCTAGCGCTGCTACTTCACAGTCGTGAGTGTAAAACTAACTTGAAATTTTTTATACGAAATGTTTGTTGTTTTTAGGAGCTGGTAGCGGGGTAGTGGCAGCCCAAGCGCAGGGGCCGTACCCCAACCCCCAGCCGCAGTACGCGCCATCCACGCCGCAGCCCCAGTACGGGCCGCCCGCCCCCAGCCCCCAGCCGCAGTACGGCGCGCCCGCCCCCACCCCCCAGTACGGCCCCCCGTCCTCCCAGCCACAGTACGGCCCTCCCGCCCCCCAGTACGGCCCCCCAGCCCCCACACCGCAGTACGGCCCCCTAGCCCCCAGTACGGCCCCCCTGCCCCCCAGTACGGGCCGCCGCCGACCCCCTACGGCTCCGCCACCGTCACCACCACCACCACCCCCGTCCCCTTCCTGGAGGGCCTCGGCGCCGGGCTCTGGAGCCTGCTGTCGCAGCTGCCGCTGCCCGACTTCCACACCGCCCTCAAGATCCTCCTCAAGGTGAGCCCATCCTCCACCGCCACCTTGACCGCCCCGCAGGCCCACTCTCTACATGCGCGTGTCGCCAGGTCATCGTCATCAAGGGCGTGCTCAAGGTCATCTCGCTGCTGCTGGTCATGCTGTTCATCCCCAAGCTGGAGGACATCCTGTCCATGGTGAGCAGCCTCATGGAGGTGGAGATGGACATGAACATGGACGGCGACATGGACAAGCCCAAGCCCCCCATGAAGCCGGACCACCACGATAGCCAGGACGAGGAGGACGCCAACGACGACGTGTCCATGGAGGACTCGTCGGCGCAGAGCGACAGCAGCCGGACGGCCCGAGGAGGTAAACGAACAATCAAAAATGTTTTTTTAAAAAAAGAGGGGGAAAAGGAAAAAAAAATTTTAGTGGGGATACGAACCCGGGTCACTCCGCGTGGTTTCCGCCCCCTAGAACCACTCGGCTATCGGCTTCATACCCCCATTTCTGTCGCAGGCTCAGCCCGCAGCCGCGCGCTCAACGCCCTGGCGGCGCGCGTGGAGGAGGCCGTGTCCCGGACGGCGGGCGCGCTGCAGAGAGACGCGCCTTGCGGGGCCGGCGCCGAGACCGCCAACGACAGCAGGTAAAAAAAGGCCCCACACGCCTCGGCAATCACTGTGGCGACAGATAAGGCCCGGGACCCTAACCCTAACCGTGTGACACTTTGTCTATTCCAGATGCAGCGCGCCCAGCCCGCCCAGCCCGCCCAAGAAGGCCAAGAGGAAGGTGGTGGGCAGCAAGCACTAACCAGGACTGACTATTTATTTATTGCCGTAATTTATTTTTCGTATTTATTGTAAGCTAATTTATTAATGACAGGGACACTGTGTAGATAAAAAGAAATAAAGATATTTTTTAAACATTTTGTCCGCCGTGACGGCTAGAGACTCGTGATTCTTGAAAGAACCCCGACCCCCCGATAAATGTTGCTGCGAGTTGCTCAATGGGGTACAGCGCGCCCACACCTGACTACTTTCTTGACCGATTGTCTGGTCGTCAGAGAGCACGCCTGAATCGCGCCTCCGCGGTGATAACGCTCGAGTGTGTGCGCACAGTGTCGCGGCGCGCAGAGCGCAGAACGCAGAGCGCCGCGACGCCGCCTGACACTCACTCTCCGCCATGGCGCGACTCACGACGCACGGCGCCGTCCTGGCCGCCACCGCCGTGGTCCTGGTGCTCACCGCGAGGCCCTCCGTCCAGCAGGGTGAGTCCAACGCCGACAGCCGCCGCCAGCGCACAGTGGGCCGGCCCCAGAGCCGCTAAACAGGACTCGAACCGGGCGTGTGACCCCACCAATGGATTCCTCTTTCCGAGAGCAATCCATTGGTGGGGTCACACGTTCGCTCCGAGTTCCATTCAGCGACTCTTGAGCTCGAAACACGGAAGTGAGGTTTGCGACAGGATTGAACCGCAGACCGGGCCAGACCAAAAATGCTATGTCATATTGAGATCCGATCCGCTGACCCCGGTTTCCGGTACCGGCGTCTCTACAGCCTGAGCCACCACTTCAGATGATCGACAAGTGGTGATGAGACTGGTTTGCACCTAAGTGGCAGTGTAAAAATGGTGTAGGATTTTTGGGAGTCGAACCTCAGCCTGGTGAGTGCTTGCCTCCGGAATAGACAAAGTGCCACACGATGTTAGGGTTAGGGTCGCAGTCCTTATCTGACGCGACAGTGATTGCCCAGCCGTGTCGGGTATCCGCCGCACCCTCCGGACGTTCCTCGCGGGGCTGACGCAGGGCTGACGTGCGACCCCGGCGAGAGCACCTGCAGACATGCCTCAATCTGGCTTCCGATGACGTAGCCAGCGCGGCCTTACGCAGAGGACTTCATTTCGGCCGCACCTCGGTATCCGGGTCTGCGGTTCCATTGACGGAACCGGCGAGCGATTAGCGGTCGCTAACGGTGGAGTGGTGGATTAGCCACCTGGACTGCACCTGGGCAGACACCCCAGACACCTGCAGCAGATTAGCACGCGAAACGCAGATAAGGGCACTGACCCTCCGCAAGGCGGCGGACCGGACTGCACACCTGCACACTTGAATGTTGCGGCGTCTAGTCCTTTTTTTGGTGGTTGGTTTTACATTGTCGCTGACGCACGCTGACGCACGCAGGCTCGTCCATCCAGCTGCCCTGCACGTCCGTGGACGACTGCGACACTGCGGGGGCCGTGTGCGACGCCGGGGCCTGCTCCTGCCCGCGCGGCCAGGTCATGACGAGCGACCTAACCCGCTGCCTGCCAGGTGAGTGGAGTGGCGCGTGCAGTGCCGCCGCACAGTGGGCCAGAAATCACGGACGCGTTTGGGGCTCCAGAGTCGCTAAGTGGGACTCGAAACGAGCGTGTGACCCCACCAATGGATTGCTCTCCGAACGACGAATCCATTGGTGGGGTCACACGCTGGGTTCGAGCCCTGCTTAGCGACTCTGGAGCTCAAAACGCGTCTAGAGTTTTCGCCGCCGGCGCCCGTCTTCTGACCCACTGTGTTGCCCACGCCGTCATCGTCGTCTTGCTCTTGTTGACGTTGCTGCTCTCGTTGCAGGCGCGGGCGAGTGGGGCGCGGCCTGCAGCGACGCGGTGCAGTGCGTGTCGCGGCTGCTCGTCGGCGGCTCCTGCTCCGCCGCGGAGGTCATCACGTCGGTGCTGGAGCCGGCCGCCCCGGCCGCCAACGTGTGCCAGTGCGCCCAGGGCTACCACTACCTGCAGGGACAGTGCTGGCGCAGCGCAGGTGCGTGAACCTCTGTCTCTCTCGCACTCCCAGGGCGCCCAGGGCGGTGCGAGAGAGACAGAGCGACGGAAGGACCCCGGGAATCAGCCTGCGGCACCAGATTAGGCAGACATAATCTCCCACGTGTGCACCGCACTGCACAGTGCAGCAGACGTCTCCGAGTAAAGTCTGTTTCCTCCCTCTGAATGATTAGTCAGCGGTAAACTGACTATGAACAAGCGCGAAAAGCCTGTCCCCCCTCCCCCTTTTCACTCGGCGGGCACGTGGCACTGTAATGAGCACCGCGGTGGTCATCGATCCAGAGTGGAGTCCGGTCGGGCCAGACCGCCCAGAGCGCCGAGTCCGCCGACGCCAAGGCCCAAGGCCCCTCGCCAGTGGCTAGGCCGGGCTACGCCCCCCTCCCTGTACCCCCTTGTACTGCCTCTGCCTCGGCCACTGCAGCGCGGTCAGGCTCGGGTCAGGCGCCACGCGTCGCGAAACGCCTCCATCTCACGCGCCTCGTGCCCTCCTTCTCCTTCTTCTTCTCCTCCACCTCCTTCTTCTCCCTCTCCTTCTTCTTCTCCTCCTTCTTCTTCTCCTTCTTCTTCTCCTCCTTCTCCTCCTCCTCCTCCCCGGCCGCGGTCACGCACCGCCTCCTCCCCGCCAAGCACGTCGCCGTCGTCGGCCCTTGTACGGTGGCGGCACTAAACGAGCGCCAGAGCGGCGCCGCATCCCCTGGGCGATGTTCAAATTGAAAAAAAAAAAAAAAAAAAAACAACAGTAAGAGAGGGACTTTCTAAGAGAAGTTTTGTTGTCGGCGCGCAGGTCTAGGAGCGTCGTGCAAGCGCTCGGAGAACTGCTACGCGAACCACGACAGCGAGTCGGTGGCGTGCAAGGACAAGGTGTGCGCGTGCGCGGACGGCTTCTACCAGCGCGAGTACTCGTCCTGCCGCAGAATCAGCACAGGTAAAGTGAAACCGAAAATCGAAAATGGAACATTATTTTGACGTTTTTGAAAAGACAGAGTCCTCGACGGCGTTGTGATTGCAGCGTACGGGCAAGAGTGCGGTATCGTCCAGGACTGCCAGTACGAGTTCTCGGCGTGCACCAACAGGCGCTGCCGTTGCGAGGCGGGCTACAAGTACGACAAGGACACAAGAAGTGCGCGCCGGCCGCCGCGCCCGCCACAGGTACACGCACCGCTGCGGACCAAACCCGATGCCTCACCCAGCTCGCGCAGACTAACGCTGTGCGTGTTCTAGTCCGTCTCGAAGTCGGCGAGGCCGACGACGTGGAGGACGTCCTGCCTGGCGTCGCGTGGCATGCGCTGTTCGGCGACAAGACGGCCCCGAAGGACGACCCGAAGGTCGCCGTCCACCACACACTGCGAGGTAGGCGCATTCCCTTTGCTAGTCGAGAGCGCTGGAGTCGGCCTGAGCGCGTTCGGTTCGTTCACTTCGCCATTCTCTCGGCCCTTTGCAGCCGTTGCAGCGGACGCGGCCTTGCACCACCGCGGCGGACTGCGGCGCGCACAGCGACTGCGAGAGCGGCGCCTGCGTCTGCCAGCGGGGCTACTTCAAGCTGGAGGGCGAGGCTGCGTGCCACCCCGGTAAGCAGTCAGCTCAGATCTTCAATCAATTACTTTCTTCAATTTATATTGGCTGGCTTTTACTGACTATTTTTTTTTGGCGCGCAGAGGTGCTGCAGACGTGTGCCCAGGACGCGGACTGCACCATGAAGAACGCCGTGTGCCGGGCCGTGGGGGACACCAAGGTGTGCTCCTGCAAGGGCGGCTACATCGCCAGCATGGACATGAGGATCTGCCGCAAAAGTAACGCCCTGCATCTTTGTTGAACTTTCAGTCCTGCAGACTGATTCCGAGAGTCAGCGACTTGACGTGTGCCTGTTGTTCGCAGTGTCGCGCGCGCTGGACTGGAGCTGCCTCCACGACGAGCAGTGCGGCTACTTCGGCCCGGGGGCCTCGTGCGTCTCCAAGCGCTGCAAGTGTGCCAGCGGCACCCACTGGCTGGCGGAGCAGCAGTACTGCTGGGTGTCTCGAGGTGAGGCTAACAGGGTTGGGTCTCTCTCTCTCTCGCAGCCGCCCGGACCGCCCCGCGAGTGCGACAGAGACAGAGCGACGGAGCGCCTGCGAGGCGGGCCGTCCCGCCGCACTCGGCAGCGCGCAGCCGCGTGGGTTGCCTACCCTGCGTCTGGCGGGCGCTCCTCCAGAACGAGCCCGCCAACTTGTTGTTTTCAAACTGACGCGCGTTTTGTTGTTGTTGTTCGTTTGGCAGTGGTGGGCGAGCAGTGCGTGGCGTCCGAGGACTGCGCGGGGCTGGGCAGCGGCGGCGTGTGCGGCTGGACCAACGCCGACGGCGAGGTGACGGGCGACGGCGGCGCCTCGGTGTGCGGCTGCGCGTCCGGCTTCCACGCGGCGGCGGACGGCGCGTCGTGCCGCGTGGACGCGGAGGGCGTGGGCGCGGAGTGCCAGCAGGACGAGGACTGCGTCACGGAGCACACGGCGTGCCGCCAGGGCGCGTGCGCCTGCCTCGCCGGCTTCATCCCGGACGCCAGCGGCAAGGGCTGCCAGCCGGGTACGCGCCGACGGACTGCCAGTGCGCCGGAAGACCGCCGCCGCCGGCCGAAACTCCAGACGCGTTTTGAGCTCCAGAGTCGCTAAACAGGCCTCGAACCGAACGTGTGACCCCACCAGTGGACTCCTCGCTCGGAGAGCAATCCATTGGTGGGGTCACACGTTCCATTCGAGTCCCATTCAGCGAGCTCAAAACCCGTCCGGGGTTTTGACCGCCTCCACCGGTCTTCTGGCCCACTGTGGGGCTTTCCGGACATGCAGGCCTCTGGTTCTAATTCGTTTTCCGACGCACAGGCGTGGGCGGGCCCTGCACGTCGGACTCCCAGTGTGCCGCCAAGGGGTCCCAGTGCGTCGAGTCCAAGTGCGCCTGTCCGAGCGACTACGTCTCAGCCGAGGCCGGCGACGCGTGTCTTGAAGGTGCCAGGACTTTTCATAACAACATCATCCTTCAATTTTTTTTCAAATTGCCTTTTTTGTAAACCTGTTGACAATATTTTCTTTTCGCAGAGGTGACCACCGTGAACGGGACCTGCACCGAGTCGGCGCAGTGCGCGCTGCTCAACACGGGCTGCACGGACGGCGCCTGCCGCTGCGCCGAGGACCAGCACTTCAAGGGCGACCGCTGTCAGCGCAAAAGAGGTACGTCATATATCCGAAAAGGAATGTCGCACCAAAACAAACAGTCCTCTTGACTTTGCCGCGCTTTGGCGCCATGCCCCCGCCAGGCCTGGGCCAGCGCTGCTCCTCGAGCTCCGAGTGCTACCTGCCGGACTTCCCCGAGCGCAGCGAGTGCCGTAACGGGGTGTGCAAGTGCCTGTTCGGGTTCAACAACGACAACGACAAGACGTGCTCGGGCGCCGCAGGTACGCCTCACTCATCCAGCGTCCACTTCTTTGGAGTCCCACCCCAGAGACTCATTCCGAGAGTCGTTTTCGTCGCGCTGTCTCTCTCGCACTCGTGAGGCGTCCCGTATGGGTGCGAGAGAGACGGAGCGACGACTCTCGGAATGAGTCTGCCCCTCGCTCCTAATCCCTCCAACCCGAACCTCGTTGTTGCAGGCCTCCCCGGCGTGTCCGCGTCCGCACTGGCGGTCGTTGCCTGCCTCTCCTTGGTGTGGTCGAGGCGCGGCTAAAATAGCCGCCACCCCTCGCCTCGCCGCCACGCCACGCCACGCCGCTGGCCCTGAGATGCCGTCTTGAGATAACGAGACAGTAGCAATTAAGTAGATGCGGCCGAGGCGGCAGATTTATTCGCGACCCGCCTGGCCGGGGAGGGGGGAGGGGGAGAATTGCGGCTTCGTGTGGGAGCCGCGGCCACGCGTGGGTGAAGTGGGGTGGTGTTGGGGAGGCTCAACAAGAAACTCCAACAGCTCTCTGTGATTTTTTTTTAGATGTTAATGTTAATTATATTTTTTACGCGTCTGTTGTTTGATAGACTGTAAGTGTGTGTGTGAGTGCGTGTGTGTGCGAGGTGTCCCGTTTTGCGGCTGGTGTGGATAGGCAATCCAGTTTCCTGTGCCTGGATTGCTCGCGATCGCTCCAAGAACGTTGTACTATTTGTGTGTCTTGTTTTGTTTGTTTGTTTGAGAGGTTGAGTGCGACTGAATAATGCGATTCCACGTCAGTCTGACGTAGAAGCATTCTCTGCAGTTTCCGTCCACGTTGTGCAGTGCATGCCGATTGCCATTGTACCTAAGATATTATTATAATGTAATTTATACCTGAAAATAAAAGATCACGATTTTTCCAACCCCGCTGTGAAAACTGACCTCTCTCCCTCCACCGACAGTATCATGACTACCTGCAATCGGTGAGTCGGGCTGGTTTGCGGGGATCAAAAGCCTCCCCCCTCCACCCGGAGGGGCGTAGGTCAACACAGCACGGCGCTAAATAAGCCCTTCCAGCCGAAGGGCCCGAAGGGAGGCGAGGAGGAGCGGGTTCGACTCCGCCTCCCGCCCCGTTTTCGTCGTCATCATCTAAAAGGGACCGTGGCACGGCGGCCTCTGCGGCCGGCCTGCCTTGGCACGGCTTGCTTTGCCTTGCACGGCATTGATCGCCTAACGCCTTGCCTGCCTCGCCGGCCAGCCTCGGCCACTATTACCTAACCCGAGGCCCCCCGGTACCTCCGGGCACCTCCGGCCCTGCACCCCCTCCCCTTCCACTCCACGGCTATTCCAGGGGTCAGCCTCCAGTCCGGCCGCACGGCCCGCACGCGAACTATGACGTCACCGGCCCCGCGAGCCCCGCGAGCCCCGCAGGCCGCCAGCACCGCCAGCCCGGACGCCGAGGGGTGTGTTCTGCGAGCACGCTCCGCCGCGCCACTACCGGTCAAAAGTGGTCGGGGTGTGGTCGAAGAGAGAAAACGACTTCAGACAGTGTGAAATGTATCTTGCCGCTGCGCGCGCTGGTTGCAATAGTTACGCCCACCACCTACGGGAACGCGGAGGGAGGTTTTCGGTGCACAAGGCGCACAGTGGAACCAGAAGACCGGCGGAGGCGGTCAAAATCCCGGACGCGTTTCGAGCTCCAACCGAACGTATGACCCCACCAATGGATTGCTCTCCGAACGAGGAATCCATTGGTGGGGTCACACGCTCGATTCGAGTCCTGTTTGGCGATTCCGGAGCTCAAAACGCGTCCGGGATTTCGACCGCCTCCGCCGGTCCTCTGGCCCACTGTGGGCCTTCCCTTCCGCCCTGCGACCGCGCGAGCTAATAATACGCACGCGAGGCTAAAAATACACACAGAGACCATCCAGGTGGCGACGAGTGTGAGTGTGGTGCGGTGTGTTTGCCAGGTGATAAGCGGAGGGGCGGGCCCAGGGGGTGGGGGAGGGCGGCGTGTTCTCTTGTTACAGTGGCGGCACGAGTCACGCCGCGTGTCAAACGCGAGGCGCGGCGCCACTTTCAACACTCCCACAAACCGGGTGGCGAAGCGGCGAAAACGAGAAAATAAGAGGGGGAAAACTGGACCGGTCCCGGGTTCGAATCCCGGTCGGTCCCCGTAGCCGGTCCGTTTTCTTCGCCGCCGGGCCCGTCCCCCGAACCACCCCGAACACACAAAGCCGCCGCGAGTCGTGCCGTGCCCTATTAGCGCCCCGGAAGCACCGCGAGGCACTGCCTTCCAGAAGTTGCAAAAGCGGTGCATGTTTTACTAAATGTCGGCAGGCCCCGCCGCGCCGCGCCGCGCCGCGCCCCGAAACGGAACGAGGTAATATACGTGCGCCACCCGCCCCTCCCCTCCTCAAGGTGCACTCTTATCTTGGCCGTTTGACCTTAGGCCCAGGATGGCCAGGATGCGCGGTGCGGCGCGGTGCGCCCAGGGCCGGGCTATCGTGCATCGAGCACGATCTAGACATGCTTCGGTACAAACCGTCGGCCGACTCGCAATTCGCAGACGGGCCCTCAACTTTGACCCCCCGGCCCGCCTTCGCTTCGCCTGCCGGGGGTGCGTTCGTCGCGCTGCCTCTGTCGCACCCCTGCGGCGCGCCCAAGAGTGCGAGAGAGTGCGGCACTTGGGCCCGCTGGAGGTGACCGGGCCGTGGCGTGCCGCGCTGGGCGCGCTGGGCGTCCATGGCGACACGGCGACACGCGCGGCGCCGCGCGGTGACCGGGCCGCGGGCCGCGAGCCGCAGCGCCAAGGAGGCCTCCAAGAACAGCCCCGCGATAAGGGCGGCAGGGCCCGCTCCCAACTTTTACTACCCGGGGCACCGCGAGTCCGAGTCCACGACAAGGTGAAGACTGCGACGCAGAGTCCATTTGCCAGAAGACCGGTGGAGGCGGTCGAAATCCCGGACACGTTTTGAGCTCCAGAGTCGCTTAACGGGACTCGAACCGAGCGTGTGACCCCACTACTGGATTGCTCTCAAGACGAGGAATCCATTGGTGGGGTCACACGCTCGGTTCGAGTCCCGGGAGCATTTCCTCAGACCAAAAAACATGTACCTTCGAGGACTTCGCGTACTTTCGCGTGGCAGGGGGTGGGCGGCGGCGGACGACGGTGACGTCACCGGCGCGTTGACCACCGCGCCGTCTCCGGTCTGCGGATGGCGTCCGGGGCGCCGGGGCGGCCGCTGCAGCCAAGGCAGGCAAGGTCAATCGGGGCGGGGCGGGGGAGCACTCGGTGTCGTCACCCACCACGTCACGGTACCCCCACCTGGACGGCGGCGTGGACGGCCTGCCCCCGACGCGGCGTGGCACGGCGCGGTCGTCGCAGTGACCGTCGTGTTTGCGCCCTTCACCTCCGCCCCGGCGGACTGGCTGACTGGCTCGAGCTTCAGGATTTGCCCGCCGCCATTTGAATTTCAAATGGAGGTCATTTCAAAATCCCGCGCTTCCGTCCACCCCCGGTGGTCGGTGGCCGGCTGCCCGTCGTCGCCCGGATAGGGGGAGGCGAGGCGGTGGTGGTGGTGGTGGGGGGATGCGGTGCAAATGGGACTGCAGCAGTGCAGGATTAGAACGGCCGCCGCACTACAGTGCAAGGGGTAGGGGGGGGGGGCACTCTCGACCAAATTGAATCCACCCGAAAACAAAAAACAACCCCCAACGTTGATGAATTTCTAATTGCAAATTACTCTGCCTCTCTGGGTCGTCGAAAAGAAACGCCAAAACCGCGGCAACATTTTTTTTCTTTCGTTAAAATTCGCACACTGGAGGAGTGGAGCGTGAAAACGACCTCTCCAGTCATTTTGCCCGCGAGCGCGGTAAATGCAGCGCCGTGGTCTGCTTCCCTTTACAGTGAAGGGGCACTATTAGCCGGTTTATGGCTCGGGCGTTCATGCAACGTCGACAGCCGGTTTACGAAATGTCTTGGGTCGCGCGCGCGCGGGGGGCAGGATTTTCGTTCGGGTGGTCAAAGCGAGCGGGCAGCGGGCTCGAACCAGCTCTATCTTGTTCCCTCGGGCGGCGGGGCGGTTGCCTCTAGACGCCCCACCCTTCCCTTTCCCTCTCGCCTGCACCGCCCCTCGCCTCCATAAACTACTCTCTGACACCCTCCGGCCCTCAGGCCCTCCGCACGGTGTGCTAGCGGCTCGGCCACTAGTCATTACAACTGCTTTCACTGAAATATTGCTTGGCGCGGCGATGGCACCTGAGGTTCATCATCCAGATTCTGATTCACGCCGTTGGGCTAGAAACCTGCTGCCGCCACTTAGAACGACTCTCGGAGGGTCCGGCCTCCCCTGGCGCGGCAGGCCGCGGGGCGGGCCGCGCTGGAGACTTGGACGGCCGGGTGGACACCGGGCCGCGAGATAAGCGCCAAGGACGCCGAGAAGGACGCCACCGACACCGAGCAGGGGAAGGAGGACGAGGACGGCGAGGGAGAACCGCCACCCCCTCGGCGGCCACGGTAGCGTAGTGTGTAGTACTGCCCTGGCGTGACCACACGCCGTGCCGTGCCGCGCGGCCTCCACCGCGCCCATTGGCCAAGACCCCCGGGCAGGCCGCGGAGAGGGGGGAGCTTCTGGAGGCACGGCGAGGACCCCGTTCGGTTCGGCGGGGTGCTGCGGGCCGCGGCACGCTTCGGCCTCCAGTCCGCATCCAGACGGCGTCTTGCTCAGGCCGCCTCCGCGCCCCGCCGCCAAGCCGCCTCGCCGCCCGTCCGAGCCGAGGTCCTTGAGGCCCCCTAGCGGCCCCCTAGCGGCCCCCAGCAGCAGCAGGATGCGCGCCCACTGCCTGGTGGCGCTGGTGGCGGTGCTGGCGGTGCTCGGCACCACGAGCGTCGACGCGCTCACCGCCTTCGGCAAGTCCAACAGCCAGGACAACAAGGACAAGACGCCTACAGGTGAGTACGCACTACGCACGTGTTGCGTCCCACTGTCGTTTCATATTTTTTTTCGGCCTTTTTCGCCGCGGCCGGGTTCGAACCCGCGACGTGTGCAATGCATGGCTGGCCGGGCCGCGCTGGCGTGCACCCACACCCAAAACTACCCCGAAAGCACTGCCTATCAATCAACTGCGGAAAAGGAAAAAAGGAAAAACACCGAAAGAAAAACAAAGAAAAGCCAGAAAGTGAAGTGAGGGAATGCCTTGAACTGGGCTCATTTCCGGAGCCCTCAAGAAAAATGTGTTGGTCGAGGACAGGGCCTCCGTCACCAGCACGCAACCCGCCTCGTCTCTCTCAGGGCGAGGGCCCCCCTCACTGATTCAATCCCGATCAACTCCACAGTGTATCGTCGCTCCGTCTCTCTCTCTCACTCCTGCGGGGGGGCGTCGCGTAGGTGCGAGAGAGACGGCGGCGGCACGCTGTGCGAAATCAGTCTGGCGGCTTCGCCAAGCTTCGGCGGCGGGCTTTGCATGATACTTTCGGGAGGTGCTGGCGCGCTGCGCGCTGCGCGCTGGGAGGGGGCATTGGAGGCACATTCGTGACTGCATCGGCGGCCTGGCTGTTTCCACGTTCCACACAGTGTGCCACACACGAGCGCGCTGGCACTGCTGGCGCTGCTGGCAGCCCGTCTGACATGCTGACAACTCGTTTCTTCGATTTAAGGCAGTAGTATTCTCGCCATCGCCGTTTACCTGCGCCCGTCACGACACCGCACCGCCACGCCGCCGCTTGCCCCCCCAGCCTCCTCCCCCCCCCCCCCTCCGGCCGCCGCCGTGCCGTACAAATACTATCGCGTGACCTTGAGAGCTTTGGTGCTTCGGCCGCACGCGTGTTTTCCACCCTTTTCAACTAGCGCATCTGGAGATGGCTCATGGATTGTCTACTCGGACGGTTATGTTTACCGATCGCAGTGGACGAAACCAAAATATCTTCTCTCGAGACGATTTTCTGGGCTAAGAGACGCACGCCGCTTGAACGTCGAGGAGTTCGTTGTGCAGGGTCACGTCCACGATACACTACTAGCCCGGTCGGCGGGGGCGGGCATCACCCCTGCCAAGGGAGCCAAGGGCAGGCGGGGCTTGGGATCAGAGACACCTGGGCGGTGGTCGAGCGGAGGTGGAGCTAAATTTCGGAAATTTCGGAAAGAACGCTACGAAATTCGTGTGCATTGTTGTCGAAAATCTAGTTTGCGAACCTTGAACCCGTGCCTGCCGACCCGCGGAGACCCTACAGTGATTCCACACGGCGTCGCTCCGTCTCTCTCGCACCCCTACGGGGCGCCCCGTGAGTGCGAGAGAGACAGGGCGCTAGCTTCCATGTTTGCGTAGAACGGTTATTGCGCTAATCGCGGCTGGCATCTTTCTGGAGGCGACCGCCGCGACCGCCGGCTGCAACTACCCGTCTGTCTCTCTCGCACACCCGCCCCACAGCCGCGAGTGCGAGAGAGACAGACTGCGCGGGAGGAGGGAGCCTGAAATAGCCGGGCGACAGCCCCTGCAAGACCGGCACAGCGCAGCGCGCGGACAAGGGCAACGGCCGAGTCCGCCGAGCCATACCGTTCCGATGCATGAATATGAATATTCCCGAAGGCTTGCCGAAGGCGCATGAAACTCGCACTCAACCCCACAAAATAAACTTAAAAACAAAAACAATGAAAAAAAAATGCAAAAATGCATCTTGCATGGCGCGTTGCGACGAATGCACGATGAATGCCCCCCCCCCCACGGAACGAAAGCACAAACGCATCAAGCAGGCAGCACAACCGTACGGCATGATAACAAGAAAAAAAAAGTGCATTCATTTTTTTATTTATTACAAAAAAATGCACGAAAAATAATTGAAGTATCCGGGAGTTGAAGCCACGGAACCGGCGGCTGATGCTTGCTGTCTTGATTTGCAGCCAAGGTGCCAAAGGGGCGGTTGTGCAACTCGGGGGCGGACTGCGAGGGGACGGCCTCCACGACGTGCATGCTGGACAAGGCGGACGGCAAGAAGCACTGCCTGTGTCGGGACGGCACGGCGCCCGTCAACAGCAAGTGCACCTCCCAGCCGGTCCGTAAGTGAACAGAAAAAAAAAGCAAGGGCGTCGACGGGGTGTGGAATTCCGAAAGTCATGCTACCCCCTGTTCACCCCACGGAGTCACGCCGCCATTGCCTCCGGTATGTGGTCTGGGTTCGAATACCGCCGACTGCAAACCCCTTTTTTCAGCTTTATGCTTTTCAAGGGCGTCGTCAGCGTGGGTACACTGCCCGGTCGAAATCTAATCCCGCGAGCCGCAATCACCGCCGTGCAGTGCGGCGACCGCGCTGCGACATTCAGCTTTTTGGGGTGACTCGGTGACTCGGTTTGGAGGACTCTCTGGTTTCGGGCGGCAGGTCCGCGTCCGCGGCACGCGCGCCGCACCGGGCGGCGCCGCGGCGAAACGCCTCAAGTCGGCCGCCGAGACGCGGCGGATACGGCGACGCCACGGCGACGCGGGTCGCGGATCGATACACCGCCTGACGCCTTTATGCCCGTACTTAGCATGCTAAGCGGCCAGCCGGCCAGCCAGCCAGCCTGCCAGCAGGCCAACATAAACCCCGCGGAGATACTATGCTGCTGCGGCGCGACGCGGTGTGTCACCGCGAGAGGGCCTGCAAACTTTACAGCATGCACCACTTGGCAAAATAAGAAGGGGTTGGTTTTGAACGCCAGCATGGCAAAACTCGCCTTGTTTTTGTGAGAGTGTGCCGAAGGCATGTGTGAACTGGCCGTGGGTTGGCGGGGCTCCCTCCCGGAGCGCCTGCAGTCGGCAGGGTAGGCCGTCCCGCGGGGCTGGCGTGCGCTGCCCGCCCGCAGGTTGCCTACCCGCCGGGCGCTCGCCGCTCGCCACACGCTCCACCGCAAAATTGCCCGTCTGTTCCTGTTCCTTTCCACGGGGCGGTGCGAGGGGCCGGTCCGAGGGGCGGTCCCTGACTCCGACTCCCTGACCCACTGCCGACGTGGCCGAGGCCTGCAATTTCGGCCGACCCTCGCACCCCACAGTCCCCCACCGCCACCACGACTGACTCTGTTTTCTCACTTTGCAGTCCCCGGAAAGCCGTGCAGCAGCTCGCAGGACTGCATCCTCAACGCCGAGTGCATCACGCCGAACGACACCAGCAGAAAGCAGTGCACGTGCAAGGAGGGCTACGAGTACCAGCCCAGCATAGACGACTCGCTGTGCAGTGGTGGGTGCCGCCGAACACCGAATGACGATACACTGTCGGTCCTTCCGGTCTCGATAACGATATGAGCGGGAAACGGAAGTCGGGCGACTGTACGTACTCTGGGTGCTCGGCGTGACAACGTGACTTGTTGCAGGTTGCGCCGCGGCCCTGCCCTGGCTCGTCACGCTCCTCCTCACGCTGTTCGTCCTCGTCTCCACGGACCGGCGGAGCTGTTCATAGTGGCTCGGCGACCACCGTCACGCCAGACGCCACCGCGGCCAGCAGACTCACTCTGTCTCTCTCGCACCCTCGCGGGACGCCCCATGAGGGCGAGAGAGACAGAGCGACGAAAGCGGAACCCGGAATCAGTTTGCGGCGCGCCCTCCCAACGTCGAGCAACACTGACCCAGCGACCAAAAATGGGTGGCTACCCCCGCCAGAGTCATCTTTCTCCATGTCTGTCTTTTTCCTCTGTCATTTTCACCTTGACCATTAATGTGCCCACTTTTATAAAATTATTTCATCGTGACTTCACTCTTACCCTGTTTTGTCCGTGCCCATAAAACATATAACAGTAATTTCCATTTCTTAGACGCTTAGGTGGGAGAAGTCACAACCACTACTGTTCATTTGCTTTACCGCACCTCAGAATGTGCACCAGAAGAGTCATTTGTTAGTCTTATAGTAGCCAACTGAACCATCTTTGCTTTAACAACCAGAATTTAGATTTGGTGAGTCTTTCTTTTGGGCTTTCTACATTTGCTGAATTTCCACTTTTCCAAATTTCATTTGTAAATATTTGGCACGCATAGATATTTAGTGTTCTGGAATAATCAGGCTAATTTAATGTGATGATCCTTTTTTTTTGCGATAGTGATACTTTAACTGCACACACACCTACAGTGATCACTTTAAAATTCAATCAAAATTAGACGTGTTTTAGGTTTTTTTTCTTCATGGCTTTTGTTTTGTAAATGTAATATATCACTAGATTATCTTTTTTTATGTAAATGAAAGCGATGGTTTTATAATAAAATGATGTATCACTTCTTTATTAAAAAAGATAATTAAAGAAATGGTGTTAAAAACAAAAATGTTTGAAGGTACATTTACTGACAACCCAAAGCCTCTTCATTGTGAGCTTTTCCTTTGAAATACGACCGATGCAACTTTGCTACCAGTCTTGCCTCCGAATTGAAATTGTGGAGTTGGAAGAACGCAAACCACTGAGAAATCTGGGAATGAAATTTAAGTGAACATGAAAGCTCTCCAACAGTTACAATAATTACATGCGTAAAATCTGTCCAGCAGATCACTTACACTTGTTAAAATGAGCCTCAAGTTCAGCCTGAGTCCAGTTGCAAGATGTTAAGATGAACAGTCCCTCCACATCCAATAGATTGTTTACAGATTCAATGTAAAGACTTCGTTTCTCTTGGGCATTTTCTGGATTAAGACTTATGGCATCATAAGTTCCTTTATCAAGGACAATTTTAAATCTTCTACCATTAAATGGACATGCCGAATCAGCCAGAATATCACATGTCTGGAAATTTACCGAAATTGCACAGTAAGACATTTATTATTGAGAGGTTCAATTACACCCAAACCATTTAATACCTCAAATTTGATGTTCAATTGGCGGGCTGATGAAACTTCCTCAGCCAATTTCACAGCCGCTGCCGAGTAATCGACTCCAGTAAGATTGGTAAATCCTTCATCAGCCTAATTGAAGTAAAATGATATTTTACGTTGGGAAAATAAAACAGAAGCTCAAGGAAACAGTGAAAAACTTACCAGTTCTACGAGCAACATTCCATTGCCACATCCCAAGTCAACGATGCTGTCGCTGCTCTGGATGTCTTCACTGTTGCACATCCACCTGCGTGCAGAGGTAAAAAGCGTACAGGAAAATCATGTCACAAGTACGACAACACAGAGTGACCACACACAAACCTCACAACTCGCATTGCGCTATCTTCGCCGAACCAAATTTCTCCGACATCTCCATGGTCCTTAAAATTTGCCAGTTCGGTTTGGTACGCTGAATCCCAACTGAAATCCAAACAAGGTGTCAGGAGGCATCAAGTAAACATAACCCAAAGAGCCACGAGGAGTGGAAAAATAATATATAAATGCATACTATTCCTTGGTTCCGAGCTCAGACGTGGGTAGCTCAGAGGTTTCTTCTGAGTTGCTCATGGTTTTGAAGGAGTGTTACAACGAATTTTTGGCTTCGGAAACTGAAATAAGTGCCGAAGCCTCTTTTCAGCAGCAAAGCAGGCAGCTAACCGGGAATGACAAATTAGTCCATCTCGGGTATGAGAAAGTATTCAGTACTCAGTTGAATCAGGACAACTCCCAAAAGGGCCACCATGGCGGGGGTCGCGCCCCCAACAAAACCGCCTCGCAGCGTCAAGCAGCCAAAAGAAAGCGTAAGAAACTAATTTTTTCTGTCAAAGTACATTTTGAAGGCTTTCGTTCATTATAATTCGTAACTTTTTCTTGATGAGGTGCCCTGGTGGCTCGTGTCCTAACCTTTCTTTGGGTGGGAGGTCACCGCTGTCAAGATTGAAAACATGTTGATTTCGGAAAGTCATGCTGATAGAGAAGGAGTCAATACATTAAAGGCACTTGCATGCAACTCCAGTTATGTTGTATGAACGTCTACCTCCTTTTTATGGAGGTGAATTAATGACAAGTGTCACATTTAACCTACCCTTCACCTTTTGACATTTCATCCTAGTTTGTTTACATTGAGCATTGAATGGGCAGACCATGTCATGAAAGAATCCTAGGGTCTATTTTATTCAGTTGTACTCTCCCATGTAGTTTGTTTAACAATTTTTGCTGAGATGAAGCATCCTGTTATTTATAGATACTGATCAATAACTGTGTATGTGTCGTTATTCTGTTTCAGAGTGGACTGTTAATGTCCGTTATTAGAACTCTATCTGCAAGCGAATCCAATGAACAGCGTGACCGTGAGAAAGCCAAGCTTGAGAAAGAATACAAGCGTAGTGATCAAAGACTTGATGAGCTCATTTCACTTCATCACAATGATCTCACACAAGTTATGCAGGCAAGAAAGTTGACCCTGTTCCTTTTTCATTAACTCTTGGATAATCTCTAGGAGTAACCAACAAATTTTTTTTTTAACAGGTGTTTGCTAAGTTATCAGCCACCGTGACAGCATCTAGAGAAAAAATACTTGCTGTCAAAGAAAACTTACAGGCTTGCAAAATGCTGCTACACTGTAGAAGAGATGAACTGAAGAAACTGTGGCTTGAAGGAGTAGAACATAAACATGTCTTGCAATTGCTGGAAGAAATGTGAGTTATATTTATTAGCTTATTCACTATACAAAAATGAAATAACTTTGACAGTTCGTTGATTGTATGCTACAAATTTCAGAGAACAATTACGTGAAGTACCCTCTCAGCTGGCCATACATCTTGCCAAAAAGCAGTATTTGCAAGCTACTAAATTGTTAGTTTCTGCACTTTCACTTGGTGATGGTAGTTTGGAGAAAGTAGAAGCTCTACGAGATTTAAGGAATGAACTTCAAGCAAAGAAACAACAATTACATGTCAAGTTGCTAGAAGAGTTGAGTCATCACTTATATGTTGAGTCCACGCAAGATGTTCTAGCTCTTAGACGTCAGGGTTCTGGAAGAGACATGAATGCCTGTGCATCTCCATTCCAACGTGCTTCTGAACTTAGAGCTTCAGCACGGGGAAAAGCAAGACGCAATCTACTTGACGTAACAGCATTCCCCGGAACCCCTTCAAATAGGTAACTGCAGTAAGATTCCCGCCTAATTTCAAATGTGCAAGACATGTTACTAATTTGCATGTTATTTACTTTTAGACCCGGTTTAAGCCCAAAAGGTTCAGCAGTTGATGCATTTGACTTGTCAGAGGATATTGATTTCACAACCACTCACGTCAATCCAGAGCACTATGTTGCGATTATAATTGAGTGTTTGGCAGTTCTTGGAAAGATACCCGAAGCCGTAGAGGTAAATTATTTGCTTATCATGTCAAAGCAAACTTTTAGGTTTGTCATTAAAAGCAAAGAATGAAATATTTATTTTTTCTCTGCAGTCATTGAGGGTTCAAATGCAGTCAGAGCTGCTGGGAGTTGTTTCACGAACTACCCGTGCTTTGCTGGATGGCGTAGTTTTACAAGCACCAATCACTGGACAAGCAGGGCTGGCAGGGCCCTCCTTGTGGCCTGTGCCTAGTGTAGTGAGTATTCCAAATGGACCAGGAACTCCATCTCAGGTTCCGAATGGAGATGGCAGGCACAAAGCTGGGCATGGAAGTGGCTCAGGCAATACTCAGCCAAACCATCCCCTGCCTGAGCTCCTCTATACTTTACTGGATCAATTCCGCCACATCGCAGAAGGGCATCGATTTGTTTTAAAGCGCATGGGACAAACATGCGAAAAATACAATTTAAAGAATATTCGACTGTATGAAATATCTGACCTGTGGTCAATGGTGCAGGCAGTGGTAAGTAGTATTTCCATGTAAGACTCTTGTTAGTTGAATACAAATGCCAGATTTCTGTATGTGATATTTTTATTGCAGATGCAATTAGTTCTGACTGATTACTTAGATATTCAGAACACAGCAGCCGACGCACAACAAGCCACATCATCATTCTCTGAACAAAGTAGTGATATATCTTCCTATTTCTCTCGTCGAAAGATACAGAGGTTTGTGTTTGAAATTTTTATGTGTTTTCTCTTTTTCTTCACTGCTTGTAGGTTCATTCAAAATTATCATGACACTTTGTATTACAGACCAAAGAAAACTCCTCTATTTAAGTTCGAGCATTCATTAAATGCTCTAAATACAAGTATTGCAGAAGAGCAATCTGGTTTGAAAGTAAGTTTCTCCAAAATACTGTAAGAAGTTACCTGGAGCTACTTCTATGTTTCCTTCCAGTAACATTTAACCTTGGCTCTAGGTTCATGCTGATGGCCGCCCTCAAAGAGATAAGCTTTTGATTTGTTCATCTGATCCCCACAATATAACTCTCATATTTATTCCTATAACAAAATTCATAGAAGAAATTGAAATGGCAACAAACTGCAAAGTTGGGTAGGTATATTTACTTGCCGGTTTACTTTCAAATTTATGAGTAGTTCTTATTGATCTGATTAAAATATTTTATTTATTGAAGGGTCCCTTGCACACTCAATGCATTCTTATCTGACTACATTAAAGAAGTTTTCCTTGGCCGTTACCAATCAAAAATGTCTTCAACTATAGAAATGGTGACGAAGTCACCAGAGGCATGGAGAGGTATTATTACTCCAGAGCAAATGCGCGAACTCAGGAGGACACGGCCTCTCCTTTTGGTATGTTTTTTCATTAAATTTGCACTGTTTGGATATAATCTGTACCTTTATGACTTAGTTTTAGTAACCATTGTTATTCTTTTTTTCATCCAGAGCACTGTTGCAGTAGACGGCTGTGTCAAGGGTTTACATCAGCTCATCATGGCTTTGCCTGTTTATACGGAACATTTCCTAGGAATTGTTAGTAATTTACTTTGCAGCTATCGTGAAACATGTCAGGCTGCCTACAGAGGCAAGGTGCAGCCAGAGTCAGAGGATAAACGTATTTTCAGTGCAGCATTTTTGAAAGATGAAGATATAAGTAGATTTATAAAGTGAGTGTTCAACATCCCTTTTGCACAGTTATTTTTTTTAAGTACATCTTTGCTGAACAAATTATATGCTATTCTATTCAGATCTTTGCCAAACTGGGCAAACTTACAAGCCCAAAAGGCTATTCATCTCCAAAGACAAAAGCGTCGTGCCTTGCATAGAGAGGAAACAACAGACGAAGAGAGTCCTGAGGACATACGTCAAAGAAACGAAAAGGAGGCAGAAATTCTAGCCAGTGCCTTAGGTGAAGGAGGAGTGAACCATCATGAAATCATATCAGATGTGAAACATTTACGCAGTTTAGCATTACTGCAAGAAAGCATGGTTAGTGAAGTTGTTTTAGTATAGTTCTCTGCTGAATATGGTTGCAGGAAATTAATTTTTAATTTCTTTGTGTTAGGAATGGTTTGCTGGTTGTTTATATAACTTTGCCAGTGAGCTTCCTCGTCAGTCACCCACCCAGCCTGTTGTTCGAGTTATGTCAGAAGCCAGCCCTGTGGTACAGAATGCTACTGTCGATGGATTGCAGCAATTGGCCAAAGAATTTGAAGACCTTGCAGATACGTGCCTGTTGGTTTTACATCTTGAGGTGGGGATCCTTTTTTTGTTTTTTATTGTTATTCAGAGAGAGAGAAAAGTTACTGAGGACCTTCTTCCCTTCTGAAATTTAGGTTCGTGTTCAGTGCTTCCACTATCTCCTACCCAAAGTCAAGGATTATGGCAGATTGGCAGATTGTGGCATGGACTCTCAGGAACCAGATCCTAAGGTTCTAGAGCTAACCAGGGCTCTGACTGGCTGTGATGAAGCACTTACAAGCATTTTGCAGCCTCTAAAATGCAAAGTTAGTTACTCCTCATTCATTCATTCATCATACAAAGAATAGTCAATCAATATTTACTTTAAGAATGTATTCATGTTTGATTCTTGGCTTTTTTGCAGTACGTATTTGAGGGCTTGGGACATTTTATGTCCAAAATATTGATGAGTGTTGCCCAGTATATTGATCGAATCGATGAAGGTGGTATTCAGAAAATGTGCCGCAACATATTTACATTGCAGCAATCCTTGACCAATATTACCATGACAAGAGAAGTAGCTTTGGATCACGCAAGGCACTATTATGAGCTCTTTTATCTTACACCTGAGGCAAGTATAAATTTGTGAAACTATCCTTGTCGTATTCATCAAGGTTCTTTTCCCTAAGATTCATTTATTCTTGCAGGAAATTCTCAGTGGTGTTGTTGAGAAAGGACCGCAGTTTTCTGAGTTAGAGTATATGAATGCATTCCAGCTTGTCCATCGCAGCCAACCTGACCAAGATGTTACAGCTCTGAATGCTCATCTGACAAGGCTCTCAGACATACTAGGGGAAGTTGGAGTGACTGTATGATACAAGTATGGCTCAGGCAGACGAAGTCTGTTCTGAGCTTCCCACTGTCTCCAAATTCAAGAAAGCAGGATGCGTCGCTGATGCATCAGTTTTCTGACTTAATCACTCAAATTTATCATGCCCCTTAAGATATTGCACTGTGTGATATTTTCTTAAAGTCTTAATTGTTCATAATCATCATCATGGAGGTCATAATCACAAATTTTGCAACATCATCTGAGGTATAAGTAAACCCAATGTTTCATTACAAGTGTGGAAATATTTATGAAAATTTATAAATTGTTACATGGAATATCCTTTAATTGTTGATTTTTAGAGTAGTTCAAGTTAAAGAGCCATAGATTGTCCTATATATCAATTTTTAGTAGCATAAAACTTTAAAGAAATGGCATGTGATATCAAGTTGTTGACATAATACTGTTTTCATGACAAACATCTGTCCCCTGTTATTGTTAATGTATCTAATATATAGTGCTGTTTATAAACCCATCATTTATATTACTCATGTAAATAAGATATCAAAACTCAGTTGTTTCTAATCATTAGCTCATGAGAAAAACAAAGGAACAGATGTTACATTTGTATGTGTAAGCAATATTAAGGGCTTAGTGTTCCCATAGTTCTTATCTGTTAATCCAGCAGTAAGTGAGGAAACATCATGGTTTGACCAAATATGTGATTTTCTTGTAGAAATAGAAAATTGACTTTCCTGTAATCTTTTTAAAAAAAGCCATGGAAAAAGAAATCAGGGTTTCCTTAGTGCTTCCAGTTAGAGAGTTTAATGAAGTGATTCGTATGTTGATATACTTGTGTTTAAAATTCAGCCTCATCTATTCCTTTTTCGAGCATTTTCTTTGACCTTGGCAGTTTTTGAAAATACTTATTTATGAATAGTGTTTTACCCTTTGGATTGTGCAAAATTTTGATCATCTCTTTGTTTTGCTCGTCTGTGGATATCATGTTTGTGTTGACTTTGCCACTCTTCATACAAAGTATTTGAGACGATAGTATATGATTTCGAGATGAAAAGATAGTATTTTTAACTATTTTTTTGTCATTTTTGTATAGAACTGTATAGTTGTAGCAACTTGTCCCCCACCGGGATGCTCAGGTCACCATCACTCAAAGGTGCTGATAGAACTACACTTTTTTTTTGGTGTGTGTGTGTGTGTGTGTTTGTGTGTGTGATTTTGGTGAATAAACAAGTTGTGAATGTAACTCTAAATGCGAGAACGAATCATTTTCCCAATGACTGGGGTCCAAAACACGGGCACAAAATTGGACGTGCTCATTCCACAGGTGTGCCCGTCCCGACGGGGCTCACCGACGTTGGAAAGCAACAAGTCCACACTACACGTGGGACCAGTGGGACGCAGGGGAAGGTCCGGGGGTTGCTGTAGGTCTGTAGGTTCTCTGAGGGCGGGGGGTATCGCATCGCGAACGCGTGGGACTCTACTCCCGACTCAGGGCAGGCAGGGGGTCCCTGGTCCCGTGGGTGCGTGGGGGGCTGCGCCAAGCTTCGCGCTGCGCGACGGCGGGCTGCGCGCCCCTCCACCACCAAGGCGCCGAGCGCGCCCGCGCCGAGGCCGTGGGGGTGTGTTTGAAAGGCCCGCCGGGCCGGGCGCTCGCCTCGCGAGCTCGCCGCGCGTCCAGAGACGCCGCGACTGGTCCATTGGTCCAGACACCCCGGAACCGGCAGCCGGCACTCACCCGTGTCCACCGCGTCGCGAGGCGCCACGCGCGAAGCGCCAACACAGCGAGCACGGACACGCGACAGTGCCACTCAGTGCAACAGTGGGGCAGAGACGAGAGAGTGCAGCGAGAGTGCGACAGAGAGAGACAGTGCGCGGAATGCGTCGACGGCGATGGTCCTGCGCGCAGATCTTCCCCGGAGGCTGACGCGCTCCGGGGCGAAGCTCCCACAACAGGTGCCCGGGGCGTCCGGGGCGTCCGGGATGGAAGGGTTGTAAGGCGCGAGCGTCCCGTCTAGCAGTCTAGCACCGCTACCATGGAGGACCTGGTGAGTACAACGGTACAACCAGGCAGGCAGCACAGCAGGACAGATAATACACCTCGCTTAATCGATCAAAAAACGAAAGTTTAAATTTTTTTAAAGAAAAATTTTAAGTTTTTGTGACAGACATTTTTTTTATGCATCGCAGACAGAGCGGGCAGGTTGAAGGCCCACTAAACATGGCAGTGGTGCGGAGGGGAGGGGGAGACTGGAGACACCCGGCGATTGTAAACGTCGGAATGACTTGGGCCAACAACAGGTGAAGTGGAGGTGGCGAGCGTGGCGAGCGGGCAAAGGCAGTTGTCCAAGCTCCCAGGCTGCTCAGTGCTCCACTCGGCCCCACTCCCCCGGCCCGGCCAACGGCCAACTCCCCCCGCCGGCAAAGACACAAGACACCCGTTAACAAACTTGCGCCGCGCGCCGCCGCCTTGCCTTTCGCATTCGAATCCCCAGACGATCGCATTAAAGAGAGAGGAGGGGGGGGGCAAACTGGGCCAAAATTAGGTGCACAGTGAAAAACGATCGAGAAACTTTTCACACCGAAACAACAAAAACGACACAAAATCAAATTTTTAAAAACCTTAAAAGCGGAGATTAAAACGTAAATAAATAAGGAGAGAGGCGTCACGAGGGTGAACATGAAAAATTCAACGCTAGTTGCTTTCCCCCCACGGACCCCACGGCACTGTTTTCCCCCCGGGCCCTTCCCTCTCTCTTTTTTCCATAAATTAGCAGCGCGCTTCTTCCTCCTCGCTCTAGCCTCGCTGGAGGACGCGGCGACGCTGTTACCGAGGTGCGCCTTGAGCCGCGGCCTGTTATTGTTGACGGGGAGGCAGAGCCCTGGCAGACCGCGGCCTCCAGAAACCGCCAGAAACACGGCAGATTCATGAAGCCGAGAACCCACACCGCGCGGCGCGGCGGCGCGGCGGCCAAGGCGGTGGCGCGCTGGCAAGGTAGACGTCTCCTTTCCTTTCTCGCTAAGGGCTGCCGTGCCGCCTGGCTGCCATGCTCGCAGGCTTTCTCTCTCATTAGGGTGCCTGCAGGCTGGTGCCGAGCCGCCTCCCTCTGTCTCTCTCGCACTCACGGGGCGAGCCGTGGCGGTGCGAGAGAGACAGACAGTGGACCGACCGCTTGCCGCCGCTTCGCCGGAAGTCGGGGGCGAAGCGAAACCGGACCGCGTCGTCGCCGCCGCGCGGCGCGCAGTGTTGATCCAACTCGACTCCTCCTCCTTCCTCCTCTATTAAACAGTCCGTTCTTAATTCCTTAATTAATAGCGAGGGGCGCGAAGCAGCGCGCTGCCGTGTCCAACTCACCCCGTTGCCGTGCCGTGCCGTGCCGCATGTCAGTCTACCCCGCGACGGCCCGAGCGGCCCGAGCGGCCCGAGCCATAAAATGGGGGCTAGCGCGCGCCGCCGCCGCGCGGCCAGACGCTTTCCTCGGGGCGCTATTTTCTGTTCGGAAAAGTCAGACTGAGACCAAGTCACCAAGTCGACGACGAGGAGATTTACCAAGTTCCGCCAACTTCGTGGACTTCGTGTCGCCCGGCCCGACTCGCCCCACATTATTGCGGGCAAACCACTATGCCGCACGAACAAATAAATGTGCGGATTCGTAAGAATATCGATGTTGTTATTGTTGTGGAAAAAGATGGTCTTTTTTCTGTTTCTTTGGCTGGCTGGGCCGGGCTGGGCCGGGCTGGGCTGACCGGAAGGAAGGAACGCGGGGTGCGCTGTGAATCAAACATCGCGCTGCCGAGCCGTGCCGAGCCGCGCCGCGCCGAGGCGCGCTGCTGCACCATTAACGGTCCATCTAGCTCATGCCAAATACGCGAGAAAAAGTCGTAAAAAATGGCGCGGGGAGTCCCGAAAAAAGAGGGCGGTATCATTTCCGCGCGCGTCACTCAGCCCGAAGCGTCACCAGGGCCACGCCGGGCCGACTGCCACTGCCGCTCCAGGAAGACGATTCAGAAAAACGCGGGAAAGGGAGTTTTGCTCGTAGCCATGGCAATGGCTTAGTGACTATTTTTATTTTGACATCATTTGACGCCATTTTGACCTGATTTGGTCTACCTGTTGTCCTTGGTTAGTCGGACCTGTAGTTTGTCGATCCCTTCGACCAAACCCAACCGATTTTTTTTTCGTGAAGTGACGCGCCAAATGTGTCAATTTGCTGGTCGTCGAAGCATCGCTGTTCGAGTGATTTCGCGAAACGGCGCTAAGGAGAAGGCGGCGGCGACGACAACTCGAGATTTGTCCAAAAGCCGTCTCTGTTAGGAATCTAAAAATATTTTTTTTTGCGTGTCGGTTGGCTGCAATGAGTTAGGGCTTGAAACTGCGGCACTCTGTGCAGGGCCTGCAACGCCTTCGCGCGGCGCTGGGGCCGTGGCTGGGGCGCTGGGGGGTCATTTAAAACGGAACACAACGGCCCTCCGTTCCCCCGCCCGCCTCGGCCCGCCTGCTGCCTCTTCGCTGTCTCCTCCCTCTCCCTCCCTCTCGCTTACCCCACGAGAGAGAGAGACAGAGCGACGAAAGCCCTTGTTCGGAATCAGACTGCTGTCGCGGACCTCGCCGCGCGCGAGTGTGTGGTGAGAGTTAGTTCCGCATCGCGTGCGAGGGCTGGGGCGGGCTGGTGCGGGCTGGGGCGGGCTGGGGCGGGCTGGGGCGGGCTGGGGCGGGCCGGGGTCGGCCAGACTGGAGCACGTTATTGTGCGGTGCAATCACCAGCCGGAGAGTTTCAACCACTATTTATCACTCAGTGAGCCACAGAGAACGGCCGAGGAGGAGAGAGAGAGAGAGAGGGAGAGTGTCTCGAGCGCAAGGATGGGAGGCCGGAAGGGCTGGGGATGAGGAAGCAGAAAAGCAGGAAGGGGCTGTTGCAGCTACAAATCTAGCGGAGGCGTCGCGCGCCGTGTGTGTGTGAGTGTGAGTGTGAGTGTACCGAATGCCGACGCAGCCCCACCGTCTTAATTAAATGTGCAAACTAACGCACGCGACGAGGAACGAAAGAAAAGGCAGCGGCTGCAAGACTGTGATTCCCAGAGTCGCTTCCCTCGCTCTGTCTCTCTCGCACTCGACGGGGTGACCCGCACAGGTGCGAGAGAGACAGAGCGAATGAGATCAGTCTGCGGCAGCAAAGCCTTGCAAAGACGAGAGCAAAGCAGCGGGAAAAATAGAATTAGTGCGACGCACAGGGAGGGCTAGTGCACGGCCTCAAGGAAAACATCAGCGCTGCGTGGAAAGAACGCGAAAGGACTACAGTGTGTGTGTGTGGTGCGTGCGTGAGTGTGTCGGGGAAGAGGGGGAGAAAAGGTGACAGACGCACGCACACACAAACACAAACACGCGGCAACAACGATGACACAGACAGAGCACACAACTCACGGGCACAACCACCGCGCCGCGACGCACCGCGACGCGCAGCGTGGCGCGCTCTCAGGCCACGCCGCAGAAGAGGCCTCCCGTTGTGTCGTCCGGCCCGGCACGTCTACCTGGAGTCTGGAGGAGTCTGGAGGCTGGAGGCGCGGCGGGAGGGGAGGGGAGGGGACACGACCGTCGTCGCGCGTGGACGTCAAGTGCGGCGAAGCGGCGATACAGTGTAGCGAGCGGTTCAGGGCCAGGGCGACCAGGGCTTGGACCAGGGTCAGGTCGACGATGATGGACTTCCCCCCGGACTTTGATGTATTCCGCGGGACTCCACAGCACCGCGACCACCGCGACGCGTAGTATCTGCTGGCGAAACCCGACGCGCCCCGCCCCGCCCCGACGGCACTGACCTTCATGGAGTCAGTCCTTGAGCCCTCGGAAGCACGCCCTCGTCATCCTCGTCGTCCTCGTCGTCCTCGTAGCCCTTCCCGCCGGGCGGGCTGCCCGCGAGAGGGCGAGAGGCGCAGGCTTTCCCGTGTCTCCCTCGTTGGCGGCTTTTTAATTGCCGTTCGCGGACTCAAGCGGGGGCGGGGGCGTGGCGGCGGCGGAGGCACAGGACGAACGAAATGTGAGCACCCCGTCGTGCTGTCGTCGCGGCTGGAGGGCCGGCAGGCACACTCGGCACGCCGGAGGGGAGGACGCCCCGTCCTGGCCACTTTGAAGTCCCCCCCCCCTCGTCATTGACATCATTGCCGAGTGTATCATCATTCTGGCCGGCCCGGGGCCGCTATTGCCATCCCCGGGCGTCGCCGTCGAGGCCGTCAACACCGCCATCCATCTCGTCGGGGCGACACACCGGCCGCCGAACCGGCCACACCCTGGCGTGCCCTGGCGTGCCCTGGCGCCAGCGCGGGCCCGGCAGGCACCTACTCGATACACCACCTGGTCTAAACCCGATTAGACAAGAATAATACACCTTTCGAAATGTCCGCAGTTGGCCATGGCTTACAGTGTGAGACTCGCGCAGTCAGCGTCCTGGCGGTCCTAGGTTCGAGCCTCTCTCAGCCCCTTACTTTTATCGCCGGGGCTCAGGACCGTTAAATTAGCCAGCAATTAAATTTGCGGTAGTATTTTAGACTACGCGCCCCTAAGCCGCGGCGGTTTCTTATGTAACGGAGCGGGGCGGGGCGGGGCGACGGCCGGAACCTGAGTGTTGGCAGACCGCGGCCGCAGCGCAACGGTCCAATTAGGCAAACCCCGAAACCCCGAAACCCCCAACGCCCAAAACCCCGAACCCCTCCCGCTCGCCGGAACATTAGTGGAGGAGAATCGTATTTCGCGCCGAGGAGTTCCATTGCGCTGCTATGCGCGCACTGTAAAACCCCCGAGCATCATTGTCTGCATTCGCCACTCCAGCCGGGACCAACCAACCAGGACCGACCAACCAGGACGACGAACCGGAATAAACCCAGGGCCTGCACACGTGCACACTGCAAATGCAGGTCAACAGGTGTGCCGATTATCATGGGCTGTGGGCCCCACTCACGTGAGCCCAGCACGTCCCTCGAGTGTGTGTGTGTGTGTGTGTGTGTGTGCCTGCCTGTGCGAGTGTGTGTGCGCGCGCCACACAACCAGTCCGGCCCA